CTCACGGACGAACTCGTAGCGCTCGGTCTCCTCACCGTTGACGATCAGGGTGGGGAAGACGTAGTGGGCGGTGGCCTGGGACACGAGGGCCGCGGCGGCGAGGAATCCGTAGGTACGCATTTTGATCGGTGTGTTTGGGTTTGTGTTGGTAAAGAGAGTTGGTTGGTGGTTTGGTGGTGAAGAAAGATTGGACGGGAAGAAAATGAAAGCTTGATTTTCCACCAGGGAAGGTAAAGAATGAATGGTTTCAAAGAAAGAAAGTGGTTTGTACAATGACAAAAGACACAGCGATGAATGGTTGAGAACGAAGAATCAAGAGGGGTTCGAACTGGATGGTGAAGAAGAGGTTGTCTTATATCTCGAGCCAACTCACTAACCCCTGGCCGTCGTTGGCTATCAACCGCTCATGGTGTCCCATGCATACGAACCTGACGAGAATTCTCCAGCCCCAGCTCCCTGCTCATTTGGCTTCCTAATTCTGGGCATCGTGGGCCGTTGGCGCGAAAGGGGGCGCTTCGCTCATGTTGTCTGCAGCCAGGGGCCCCGAAAGAAGCTGACTTGGACGACCAGAATCGAAAGGGCGAGGTTCGTTTGAAACATTGGAGCGACCCATACGCAGGATCCAATTCCACCAAACACGGTCCTCGCCGCCGGGGATGGGTCCCTGATCGGGTCACAACTAAAGTACGGTTGACGACATCGACCCCTGGAGGTGCCGCCCACGTTGGGGGCATCACGGTCGAGATGTGGTCGCCAAGCTTGGCTCATGCGCCGATTCCCATATCATCCTGTTCATCTAAAGTTGCCTGGAGAGACGCTCGCGTAGCGGACTCCCCTGCAGACCACAGCTCCTCGGCTGCGTGAGCCTGGCCTCGGTGCCCCGAATCGGTCGCTCATAGATTGCCCTACATCCACCCAGTGACCTCTTTCGAGTTAGCCGCTGGGCGGATTTCCTTACCTGCATGCCCGTCGAGGCTTGTCGCGTTTGAGCGTTGGCAAATGTCAATTTCGGGCGACAAGCCGAGTTTGCTTGTCAATACCCGGCGCCAGTAATCGGTTGCCGGTGGGTAAGCGTGAAGAAAAAATCGATATATGGCCTCGAGGCCTGCCAATATTGGTTTCCGTTCATCTGAACAATAAAGACAACCTTCCGTTGCGAAGAATCGACGCCAAGAGACATGTTTCCCCAGATCCAATATGTGTAACTTTCGTCTGAAGAAGAAGATCACACCGCGGCAGTGATGCGCTGAACTCTGCCATGGTACCTGATCGACGCGCCCGTGGTGGCATTTCACCTGAAACATGGGTCAGCCAGGGGGGGCTCTGCAATGGTGTAAAAAAGCGCTGGCTGTGTTCCCTGCCGCAGATCACTTTACACGGGACGAAATTCCCACCAGAAAAAAAAGGGAGTTCCACAGCTGTGCCGTGCCCACTGCCCACCGCCATCAATCGCCAGCGCTTGGCAATCTGTGGAAAGTTCGGTATCATCCAGAACGTGCCAGTCAGCTTAGGTTGCCATTTGCGAATCTCTCGGCTGTAACAGCCGAGACTTTTCTGCACCTGGATGGCTTGCAATTGGGCACTCTACGTTGCGCGAAGGCGACGTGACGGCCAGAGATTCAACCAGCATGACGCCTGGTTGGAGGCATTATGTCAGCCCTGTCCAAGAGCGATCCGGCGCTTCGCATTTAGAGTGAAAATAAAGAAAATAAAGTGCAGATGCTAAGTGCCGCCCATCCGAAATATCATAACAGCCTTCGGTAAGAGCTGGGTCAGCCAGCCGTCCGGTGCTCCCATCCCACGTTGATAGGCAACATGCCTGTCGCAGCTCTTTCAGGAGCCGCTAGGGGCCTTAGTCAGACTTGAACCAAGCAGCGCCGTCTCCTTTTTCCCCCTCCCCTATCACGGAGGGGGGGTTTGAGAAAGACAACGTTGGTCCCATCCGCAATCGTCGCTAATATCGGGCTCCATGGATGCAAGGAAGAGCCGATGGGATGACCGACCGAGAGGAAAGATTCCGTCCGTCAAAACCACAATCTTTCCGACGGTGTCGCAACCGCACCGTCATAGGCTCAGCAACCGATAGCGACCCAGTGTTTAAAAGCTCTGCCGGAACCCACCGATCCTGCGTATTTGACTGCTCTGGGCCTTTCGCATCATCGACCCGAAGGCAGTAATGATATGCCTATCGCGGGGATGCGATTCATTTCACGCAGAGGTTAGGTCGTGCAGTTTCAGGGCCATCGTCAGGTTGATGAAGCTGCGGGTGAGAACTTCACCGCCTGTCTTCTCGTCTTCTCCTTGCGCCAGGCTCCGCTCTCCGACTGTCGAATGAGAAAAAGTTGACCGACTACATTGGATTGTAATGATACTTCTGGAAAGATTGCTTGAAAAGCTCAGCGCTCCTCTACTGGGGTGCATGTCAAGGAGAAAGACTAGAGAAATAAGCATCTGTCAAGCCCACTTCGTGTTCACTCTGGAGTTCCTGAAGAAGTCAACAGAATACGCTTAATCGGAAATCGGACACCAAGCGAGTCTCGGGTCCGCAGCGGAGCCGACATCGATGGCGTTGGACTTCGGGAACGCGGGACGGTGCCAACGGTGAGAATGACGCAGAGACAGTTATTTGGCCCGCCGTGGTTAGTGTGACGTGCTTGTCTCTCTCGACCGCCTGCCAAAACTGTACCACCATCAAGATCAAATCTCTGCAGAAGAATAATACACGGAAGATGTTGGGCAGTGTCGTAATAATTCTATTCTACTGGCTGTCTGGGTATCGTGTATGCTAGACAAAAACCAAAACCAAATACCCAAATGAACTATGACGCTTCATCAATCTTCCCTGCCTCTGCAGATGTGCACCTTGTCCCTCCGTCATAATGGTCGTGTCGATATGGATGCATCCCCCTCCAGTTGCAATACCCGCTGGAAATTGAATCTTCATGCTCGGACAGAGCGATGCCCTCGCTCTACTCGTGATCCTTGTCTCCCCCCGCGACCTGCGGCTGTCCCTTCTCAGCCTCTTCTTTCTTATCTCCTCCGAGTTTGTACCAAGGTCCATGGATCGCACCAGCGCCGACGCCGACCAAGAGCCCGACAGCCGTCGTTGGAATGGCCGCGACGCCGCCAACGACCCCAGTCACGACGGTTCCCACACCGGCACCCAGCCCAACGCCCACTGTGGCACCGATGCCTGCGCCACCCAAGCCACCCTGCCAGACGCCGCTCTGCAGTCTTTGCGCGTCTCGCGACAGCGCCTTGGCTTTGTGGTCGTGCTCAGACGCCTCCGCTAGTATCTTGTTCTTCTCGTCGGCGTCTTCGACGGCATCGCTGCGTTGGCGGGCCTCGTTGGCGGCTTCGGCTTCTTGCTGTGCCTTTTCGAGCTTCTCTGTGGCTTGTGCAAGGATCTGGTCCTTGCGGCTTTGCTTTTTTTCTTCGGGTGGTGGCGAGGAGGACATCGGATAAGAGAGGGATGGTGCTCTGAAGTTGGAATGTGGATTTGCTGGGACGGGTCTAGTAATTCTAGAAGTTCGTCTGATTAAGATAGCTCGTAGTACTTTGTCTCTCTGGATATCAGAAGAGGAGTCCGCGTTGTTTTAGAAGTCTTTGGTATCGTTAAGGTTTTAGCCACATTGACACCTGATCGCTGACATCACTCGCTTATTAGTGTCTCTTGCCCACCTATGATGTGGCTATGATCCGCCACACAGTGACGACCCTTGATTTTCTTAAACGCATACACTTTCCGATATTGCATGAGACATTTGCTTATCCACCAACTCGATACGCAACTAATTACGCCTACTAGGTAGGCATAGAAGTACGCTACGGTTTGCGAGTACTGATGGATGGTGTTTCATCCCCATTTGATAAATCACCTTGTATATGCGAATACACAATCGGTTCCGTCTCAAAAAGGAATGAAAATCGCCAAGGCCTCCTTTGGCTGGTTTTGGGAAGCTTGGTTGACATGACCACAAAGTTGAATTGCGACCTTCTACGATCTGGCTTTGGCGTGTCTGAACTCTTCGATGTGCAATTTACTAAAGGACACGCTCAAACTGAAGTTCAATCAGAAGGAGAATGGTTCGGTCAAGCACTTCTTACACTCACATACTTTTGCGATGGATTGCCAATTGCCAAGGCTACGCAGGCTTCGTATCGCCAAGAAAAACCGGCGCCTCTCGTTGGCCGGACCCTCACTTGGCAGCACACCTACAGTACATCAGGCTTGTTTTTTTGCGTTTCGGTTCTCGCGCAAACTTGGTATAGGTATCCTTGAAAGCAACTGTGAAGAGCGTTTTTCATACGTTGAAAATCGAAATTTGATACGTTTGAAATCTCGTTCCATGGAGAACAGGTTCGCAAATGGATTCGTGCTTTTTTTTCATGCTAAAAAAAAAAAAAGAAGGAAAAAAAAAAAGGGAAAAAAACCAATGCCGACTTTGGAGAGAAATACAAGGTTCAGCAAAAAAGAACGTATCGTATGCGGAGTTTCTAAGGAGGTACTGGAGGAAAAAGAATATCCTGGAAGACTGTACAAGCGCTTTGAGTAACAAATCGGCAAGTTGGGGACGAGGCATACCATGTAGACTTATATGGAAGACACGGATAAATGAGCTGGTTTACTTCGGTAAGACGCTTTCATATGACATTTCTTCACGAATATTGTGTGACACAGCATGTGCTTACTTGTGGCTTAGACTGCTCAAAACGCATGATGGCGCTTTACATTCTCGGCTCATTGGGCGTGATCCTCAATTCCGCCTTGCAGCTGAGAATGCCTGCCGGGGTAACCGGCTGTGTTGGCTGTGCATATGCATATGGACCTTCTCAACTTAATTGGGCTCTGTCGAATCCATGTGGACGATGAGGTCTTATCATTGGTTCTGAGCTCCGTTGAATTCCCTCAGTGCAGAGTTCACTCACCCATATAACATACTGCAGGCCACGTCTGGTAGGCATCTCCAGACAAACTGTGCTCTAACAAGGCAACAAAAATGGCCGAAGTCTTGGGTCTAGTAACCGCCATCGGCGCCATTCTTACATCCGGCTTTCAAGTTACGACCGCAATTTCAACCATTGTGGATGATCTTGGGACAGCGGGGGTGCAAGTTCAAGCGATCGCAGTTGAGACGGAAACGATTCTATTGACACTCCACTCGATCAATCAGCATCTTATCAGAGCTAATCGCGTCACAACCGAGGTCGCAAATATCGTCGAAGATGTTATCACGCTATGCAGAAAAGATATTGATGACATCAAAGAGTGCATGGCGCCGTTACTTGGGAAGCGTGCCGAGGAGATGCTGCTGAAGCACAAACTGCGCTGGCTGTTTGCCAAGTCCAAAATCTCAACGAGGCGGGCTTCGCTGAACTCGCTAAAACTGACGTTGGGGCTTTTCCTGCAGGCCCTTAACCTCACGGAACAAGATCACATGGAGTTGGTCAACCTTCTATGGCTACGAACGGCAATCAGTTTACTAATAGATGTACAGGGACTATATGCAGGCTGTAGTCCGACAACAGATTTCGCAGTCTCAAAACGTCAAGAAGGCGTTCATGGAAGCTGAGAGAAGAGATCAAGTCCTTGAAAAAACGTACGAACCACCTCAAAGCATCTCATCGATGAAAATGATTGATCAATCTGGCCTTGAGGCCGAAAAGCTGCCGCAGACCACTCACAGCACTATGGAGGATATTGAGGAGATGGACCGCGACAAATCAGTTAACGGGACTATGGTGAAAGTTCTACATCATCAATCTGAAGACGTTGGCTCGGACGGAGAGGGCTCTGACCTTCTGGCTAGTGATGCGTCACGACTAGGTCAGACAAATTCGACCATTGAACTTATCGACGACATGTCTGATGAACAATTTATGGTTATCGCTGATCATATGCGCCTACAAAAGACCGTTTCGAGCTTTGCTATGGTTGTCATTAACCAGAAACAAGAGAAGAGACCTGAAAATGTCGCGGGAGATACCCCCAGTGTGGTACTTTCAGAGGAGGTCAACTCTGCAACAGCGAGTGGCGCCTCTCAACAGAGAGGAAGTTGGGCAGGACCTACGCCAGAAGACACAGGAAAAACAGATAGACAGCACGCCTCAACAACTTCTCCGCCAGACAGCTATCCTGGAGCACGAGCGACGTTTGACTCAAGCAACAATGCTCAGCAGACACCTGGAGCGCCTCATGATCGGCCCCCGCCACAGTCTGCGAGTAATTACTGGGAGCCCAGATATTCAGGATATCCGGCCACAGGATACATGCCTCCACAACCGAGTCCTCCCAATCACGGTGGCTTGAACAATCCAGGGTTTGGATTCTACCCTCACTCCCCGAGATCGACCTCGTCTCCATACGATTTCCCATTTCCCATGCATAACACGGAAACGATGAGATTGCAGGAGGAATTAGCACTTTTACGCGTTACACTAGCAAAGCGAGAAGAAGATGACAGAATAAAAGGAGAGAAAGAAAATAGGAGGGAACTAGAGCAGAAACTGAGAAAAGACGCCGAAGAAGCTACCAGAAGACATCTGGAAGCTGTTATCAAGGCTCAGGAAGAGCAAAGAGTCGCTGAAGAGAGAGCAAGATCTGAAAGTAAGAAGGCTGCCATTGAGGCGGTAGAGGCAGAGAGAAAAGCAGAAGAACAAAGGCAGAAGCTCCATCAAGAGGCAATGGCTCGCGCTGAGAGGGAGGCCCGAGAAAAGTATGAGGAAGAACTAAAGGCTCACGCAGAGGCAAAGATGGCCAAACAAAAGTATGAGGAAGAAATAATAAAGGCTGCAGCAGAGGCAAAGAGACAAAGCGGCTTTTTTCGACTCTTTAGCCGAAAACAAGTCGACCAAGGGAAGCGGTAGAATAAGACTGGATAGGGACCAATAGGAGTAATTGAAACGAACACCACCTTGCAGATGCAATCAGGAGTTTGTCCTTTGAAGCCTAACATCTTACGTATATCTCTTTTTCGCATCTGCAATGATGTTATTAGGAACTTTGTAGACAGAATAGTAACTGAAAAGTCTCTAGATTCATTACAAGCTTTGATTGGAGCTCGTCATACGCCGGGACCGGGCTTATGGCACTGTGGGGCCGGTTGGTATCCGGTATGGGGCTAAGACGGAGCCCAAAAGCCGAGGGCCGGTTAATAGATCCGTGCTTTTACCCCGTACTCCCCAACCCGATAAGAGAAGTGTCTTGTGAACACATCATTTCTGCGCGGAAAGAGTTTTTGTCTTTACATGAGATCCTCTTAGCATCGCAATTTACAATGATTTGTCCCCAAGATCCTTCTGGTTGTGGGTCTCCCAGGAAGGGCCGTGTGAACATGATCTGCAGGGGCTATTCGGCGGTCTGACTGACCAAGTCCTGAACGAAGACAACTCTGACTGAGAGAGACTGGCTTCCTTTAATCCGACAAACTTTATCAGCGTAATACTCGAGCAGTTGGGTCATGAGGATCTTAGAGGTACGGAAATAGCGCCCGGAAACAGACTGTGTCGGGCTTTTTCCTTTCCCCCGGATTTTGTTAATGCACGTCGCCGTAATCCCCCCGCACTCACCCCCACCGATGCTGACATGGTGATGGCATCGGCACCCTCTTGTGTATCTCAGTTTGAATCTGATCAATTTCTATGAAATTACAGACTGTTCCAAGCTAGTCCTATGCTGAGCACAAGATCTTTGTCAACATGCCAGATTCAAGATGAAAGTAACCCAATATTGACAGTCTTGGAGAATCTCCAAGAAGCAGTTCAGCCCAAGCAGGCTCCCTTGCTCGACCCCGCGAATTCAAGTGCGGAGAAGCAGGCAAACTAGCAGCGTGCCACCCGCCCTGCGTTAATGCACCCGCCCCCCAATCTGGGGTAATTCGAGCCGCCAGCGGGTCCCCCGAACTGCCCGTATCAAGGCATACTTCAAGCTATTCGAGCAAGACGCATCCCTTCCTCTTAGGCGTCTCCAACACGGCCGCTTCTGTGATTTGCCCGGGACATTCCCCGCGAGACCCGCGTTGTGGTTTTGGAACCCCCCCCCGCGCGCCCGCCCATACGGAGGGCAGCTGCTTGCGCACTATCGTCTGCAGCTGAGAGACAGGTTAAGCCAGAACCCTGCGGGGGGACAGACAGGCAGGTAGCTCTGGTTCCAACCTTGGTAGCTCCGCGGCCAACGAAACTCCACAGATTGGCGAAACTTGTTGAGTCGGACAGGGCGGACACCCGCATCTTTTGGCGCGAATTCTCACACAGCACACAGAACTGCCTGTCTACGGGCGTACAGCAGCACTGAGGCCGATCTATCCCCGGACGAACCCCTCATCCTACGTGTCGCGTTGAACCCCGTCAGGTGATGTCACGACTCAGCCTCCGGCGCGGAGGAACGGAAAGCTCTCTTCTTCGTGAGGGGTAGCATTGATGCATTGTTCATAAATGATGGCTCCTGGACCTTCAAGGTTGACGATAGCCTCGATCATCCCAGGCCTGGATTATTCTTCGTACGCACAACAGAGATCGTCCTATCTGCGAACACTGCACGCACGCACCATGGCTGGAGCATTTCCTCACAATGATCGGATCGAGCCCGGCTCGGTGAACCTTCCTGCCCGCCCGTATCCCCCATCAGTTCGCTCGACATCGGTTGATGCGGGGAAGGTGGCGGCGGACACCATCAACGCCTTCAACGCCGCTCTGCGATCAAAGAACTACAAGGCGCTCGCGGACCTATTTGTCTTAGACGGCTACTGGCGCGACCACCTCTGTTTATCTTGGGATCTGCGAACTCTCAAGGGAAGGGAAAAGATCGAAAAGCTCTTGAGCGATCGGTGTCGTCTTACCGAGGTAGCCGTCGATAAATCTACCGAATACCGAGCTCCCCATCTGGCTGCTCTCGACGCTCACGGCAAGGTCCAATGCCTGCAGTTCTTCATCAACGTGAACACCCAAGTTGGCCCTGGCCAGGGTGTCGTTCGTATGATCGAGTCTGACGGCAAGTGGGAGATTCTCAGCTTCTTCACCGCCCTCAGAGAAATCAAAGGCCATGAGGAGCCTCTCCGACACCGCCGTGAGAAGGGCGTTGAGCATGTCGGTATCCGAGACGGGAAGAACTGGAAGGAAAAGAGAGAAGACACAGTCAACTACACCGATACTGAGCCTACAGTCGTCATCATTGGTGAGTAGGCATTTACCTCTTTGCGGCGAGGAGATTGCTCACACACTCAAACAGGTGGAGGTCAAGCTGGGTTGACTGTTGCTGCCCGGTTGAAGATGCTCAATGTGAATGCATTGGTGGTTGATAAGCACGGTCGGGTTGGCGATAGCTGGCGCAAGAGGTATGAAAATCGCCATATTAGGACTGAATTTTGCTGACTTTCGTGAACTACAGATACCATCAGCTCGTTCTCCACGACCCCGTCTGGTACGACCACCTACCGTACATCAGCTTCCCAGCAAATTGGCCCATCTTCACTCCGAAAGATAAGATCGCCGAGTTCTTCGAGTCCTACGCCAATCTCCTCGAATTGAATGTGTGGACCTCGACGACAATGACCAAGTCGTCATGGGATGACTCCAAGAGGCAGTGGACTCTGACCCTCGACCGCCAAAAGGCAGATGGCACGAAGGAGACTCGAGTTCTGCACCCAAGACATGTCATCCAGGCAACGGGTCACTCTGGGAAGATGTTTTTCCCTGACATCAAGGGGATGAGCAACTTCAATGGCGACCGGTTGTGCCACAGCTCTGAGTTCTCCGGCGCGAAGCCCAACTCCAAGGGCAAGAAGGCCGTGGTTGTCGGATCATGCAACTCCGGCCACGACATCGCACAGGACTTCTACGAGAACGGCTACGACGTGACGATGGTGCAGCGCAGCTCAACCTGTGTCGTCTCCTCAGCCTCCATCACAGAAATCGGCCTCAAGGGCCTCTACGACGAAGACTCACCACCAGTCGACGACGCAGACCTTTGGCTATGGAGCTTACCAGCCGAACTATTCAAGTCTCTTCAGATCGGAACGACAGAGCTGCAAAACGCCAACGACGCCAAGCTCCTCCAAGGCCTGCAAAAGGTCGGCTTCCAGCTCGACATGGGCCCCGGCGGCGGGGGCTTCTTCGTGAAGTACTTCCAGCGGGGCGGTGGGTATTACATTGACGTCGGGTGCAGCCAGCTCATCATCGACGGCGAGATCAAGATCAAGCAAGGGCAGGAGATCACAGAGATTCTGCCTCACGGGCTGCGATTCGGCGACGGCTCCGAGCTCGAGGCGGACGAGATCATCTTCGCGACCGGGTACCAGAACATGAGGACCGAGGCGCGCAACATCTTTGGCGACGAGGTCGCCGACAGGATCGGTGACGTCTGGGGCTTCGACGAGGAGGGCGAGTTCAGGACCATGTGGCGGCGGAGCGGGCACCCCGGATTCTGGTTCATGGGGGGTAATCTCGCCATCTGCCGGTACTTCTCTAAGATTTTGGCATTGCAGATCAAGGCCGTTGAAGAGGGCATCGACCAGGCTGGGCAGCCCGACCCTTCGCCCAGGCTCTAGGTTTTGATACCCGATGGAGTTTGCGTAGGGTGTTGTGATTAGATGCGGGCGCAGAAGATGTAATTATTCCCTGTCAGACAGATTCAATGGACGTTTTTTCTCAACGCTCACATGACCACTAGCTCTCTGTCGGTGAGCCGTCTTGCGGGACCTGATATCATCTCAACCCCTCAGTGCAGGCTCGGATCTACGGCGGGAATGGCGAGTCGAAATGAGTTCCCGCTCTTCGTGCTAGACATGCCCAAAGACACGTGAATTTCTGCCCCCAATTCGCGATTCCACGTCGCCATCACCAAGTGGGCACTACAGGGGCCGCATCGTCAGCTTCAGGAAACTGATCAGCGCCGAAAGACGGATTGGGCCAAGTGAAGACACGGTGAAATTGCACAACTCTCATAAAAAACCCTCTTTGGTCCAGCAACGCAGAGCTTAAGACCCAGCCTTATGCCCATCTGTTGATCGCGTCCCTGGCCGATGTAACGTGAGCGTCTCACGTCCACTCATTCCGATCGCCGGCACGGTGCCCTCGTGGCCCTCACAACAGGCCTGACTGCCACCCACAAGGTTCTCCATCCTCCAACACCAATCTTCTTTTGCAACCCGGGAATATCGGAGGCCTGAAAAGGGTCTTTTAACCTCTGTGGATCTGCTCAATTGCGCTCGCAGCCTGGGCTATTTTGCCCTGTTCGCTGTGAGTGATGGCCATCCCATCGGCACCTACCGGCCGATTTCCTATCCACCCTGCGGGCAGAAGATTTTCGTCGCAATGCCGATCACTAGGAGAATATTGGGAACTATTGAAGCTTCTAAGGATTTAGTTTTATCTCTCGTCCTCTGGCTTGCGAATTTTGGTTCTCTCCGGTGAGTTTAATGGGGATTTTTGCATCATCAGCGAAGCGCGCGGTGGTTCCGAGGTGGGCTGATCGTCACTGTCAGAATGTCAGTTGACATTTAGCGGCTGCGATCATCGACTCTTTCGCACTGACAACGCCACAAATCTGTTCTCGCTGCGCCGGCTCGTTCGTCGGCTCGCCGGAGCACCGGAAAGAACTCTTCAAGCCGCACGTTCTTCTTCAGCCGTTGGAACTAAAATGAGTCCCTTTTGTAACCGGTTTTCAGGAGCATCGGAACAGTGGGCCGTGTTCCAACACGAGGCAATAAGCCCGCTGCGAAAAAAGCAATGTTCAGTGGTTCACGGAGGTCGCGCAATGTCTTAACGAGAGGTTTTCCAGAAGGAGAAGATAGAGCGAAATGTATGCACATGCGCCGCAGACAAGGATCGGAATCCGCGCAGATTCTGCGACGCGGGACCATATCCATAGTAAGCACCTCCACCACACGCCGAGGTCGCACCGCCGGTGATGTTCCTCGATTCTGTGGCCCTCATCACGTCACTCATCACAGCATCTCCCACAACCCGGCAGGGTCACTGCAAATTTACCAAGTCTGCCGGGAACTCACAAGTCCGTCCGACATGAAGAAGAAAACCTAAAAAGCGTTATGCCACTGGCGAGCGTCGCGTTGACACAAGTCCCGAAATGCAGGCCTCGCACCTGCGTCGAAGCTGATTGGAGAGGCCATCAACACGCTACGCAAGCGATCGTCTGCTTCATTCAGGGGCCGCCGTCTGGGCAGCAGAGCAGAAACGGCCTGATGTTCTGCAGCAGCAGCCAACTGAAGGATTTCCTCCCGGCACAAGCATCTTTTCGATTTGTAAACCCCGGTCGGGGAGCTGCATCTGCAATTGGCCCGCGACGAAAGTCATCTCACACCGGGGAATCATCTGTTGGGGCAGAAGCCTCGAAACATGGGAGGGCCCCTGGTCATCGGGCTACCACCCTACGGCCTAGGGTGTGGTCGATTCTCACTCGTTGGTGGGCCTGGCGGGATGCTCATCTCCTTTCCCCGGACTGGTAACTATCGGAGGCAATCCCTGCATGATGGCCTTCTCAGGGCACCAATGCCACTACGCGAGGAGATCGAGTTGCCCTCGACTAGCGCACTCAGCCTCTATTACGACGTTCAACCGAGGTGAGGTACACCCCATGCCGATGCAGAATTTCTCGGCCGGCGTTGTCCCATCCCACCAACGAGCCTGAAGAAAGACATTGTCTTGTGGAGAGACGTCTTGTGTGTCTGGGTTGTTTCGATCTGGCAGGGCTGCAGGTGTGTGGCCCGGGGGAGGAAAGACCAACTGGTACGATAATAAAGACGGGATGTTCGTCTCGTCTGCGGCAGCTTGTCTCCCCTTTCTTGGTCAACTGTTCTTTTCTCTCACATCAGCCAACACCACTACCATGGCGGCGATACTACCGACAGCGTACCCGGATGCGAGGCAACAGGCCCAGAATGGGGCGGCGGTGGACAACATCGACCACTCTCTCGATGGAGAGTCAAGGTTCGGCGAGATCGTTGCCATCCTCATCGTTGGCTCCGTACTATCATCAGTTGCGGTCGGACTCAGGGCGTTCACGAGACTGTGCATGCTTCGGACGTTTGGTATGGATGACATAGTCATGATAGCGGCACAGGTAGGTCGAAGGTTCTCGATGTCGACCTGTACAGGACGAAGAAGCTGATGGAGTTTGCCAGGCACTTGCACTTGGTTCTGCAGTAGCTATTGGACTGGGTGAGTCGATTCATGATTGGATATGATGGTGTGCAGCATTCTGATCATCAACCAATAGAGGGACAGTACGGCCTTGGATCTCACTCATGGGTGCCACCTCCCGAGGACTACGTCCCATACATGAAGGTACATCACCTCGCTCTGACGCCTGCTTGGAGACAGTGTACTCATAGTGTTGTTAGTCCTTTTACAGCTCCGTCGTTGTGTACAACATCGCCATCTGCCTCGTCAAGATTTCGATTCTCTTCCAATACCGCAGAATCTTTGCCAACGAGATCATGCAAAAGTTAACCATGGGAGGGCTGATTTTCATGGGGCTCTGGACCTTCACGCTCTCCATCCTTCTGCCACTGGTGTGCTACCCAGTCGCCAAGTTCTGGGACGATAGCATAGACGGCAAATGCCTGGACTACTTGACGATATGGTACGCGATGGCAGGCGTCAACCTGGTGTCCGACTTCGTCATCTTCAGCATGCCCATTCCCGTTATCAAGTCGCTCCAACTCCCACGCCGGCAGAAGCGCATGCTGCTCCTGGTGTTCGGCCTCGGATTCTTGTAAGTCAGACAAGCTAAGCAGCTGCAGGTGTGAATGCACAGGATCTATGCTAATGTCGATCTGTGTCACAGTACTTGCATCATCTCCGCCCTTCGGATCCGAACCCTCCGCGTCGCAGCCGATACCAAGGACCCGTACTGGGACAACGTGGATGCAGCCACATGGTCGTTCCTGGAAGTCACTATTGGAATTTTAGCAGCATGCTTGCCGACTCTCCGACCGATTTTCGTCTCCCTTCTGCCTCGAATCTTCAATGGGTCCTCTTTCCACGGCAAGAGCAGCGGCAGACCATCGAGATACGCGAACCCCTATGTGCAAGCGAGCCACAATGACAGAGCCACCGGTCCGCTGTACAAGAGCCAGCAGCCGCCATCATCAAGCAGCACGGAAGGCCTGAACCACAATGAGGACATCGAAATGGGCGCACGCGAGGCCGAGTCATCTAAAGACTACACGGTCACCGTGACTGCTAGCAGATCGAAGAGCCCCGAGAACAAGCTCCACCGGCTGAAGAGCCAAAGAGACTCTGCTGAAAGACAGGCTATCGGGCAGATCATGACAACAACAGTTGTGACACAGGAGGTGACGTTTGAGCGACCGACCAAGTCTTGAAGAGGATGAGAAGAAGAATGAGCATGATGTTGAATGATTGAAGCCAATGAATAGAATAATTAACAATAATAATTCCTTGTGTTAATTGAACTGCCGCAACACTACGGTAACTTTACGGTAAATCTCCGTGTGCTTCCAAAAATTTCATCGCGGCTAGATAACGGAGACGGCCTAGATTCTTGTACGAGCTCCCGAATGCGGGTGCCTAGTTCATTCCCGAAACTGAGGATGAAAGACATTGCGATATTCTGTAGGAAGAACTTTGGGAAGAATTGTGGGCAGAGCGGACAGAAGAACAGGCAGCCATTTTTGGGCCAATTAAGCTTACATGAATGGCGAGCAGCCCACTTCACCTTCCATGTCCAGCTTGGAGAGCGAATCCCATCAGCAAAATAATCCGGCATAAAAGCCCAGTTCCGTGCATCGCCCCGCTCCGCGTGCACTCCGCCAAGCATCCCGGACCGAGCTGCTTGGCTTCCTCCCTCTCCCGACCCGGGGTTCGGATTCTGATGCAGGACATCAGCGGCAGAGGAAAAGGCTAAATTCACCGATTGTTGCCGGTAGTCGAAGGATCGCGACCAGGGTCGTTGGAGAACCGTCGCCAAAGACTTCGCGATAGACGTTCTGGATGCCCTTCGCGGCTTTGGTTGTTCCCCACTCCCCCTTTCATAAGTCCCATCAACCCTGGAGGTTTGGGTCCACGATCACTTCATGCACAGTTGACGGGTGCCACAAAGACACCTCGCTTACTATCTTCATGAGTCTAGAGTCATTAGGACTTAATCTTAAAAAAATAAAGCCTAGGTGATCATGAGGTGAAATTATTGCAGACACTCGTTACCAGGCAGCAGTTTATGATGGTGGGTGGATTCTGATAACTCTTCGCGCCACCATACTTGAGTCGAGGTCGACATGATCATATAAAACCGTTTGACCGTGTCATCTAACAGTCTTCTTTGATGCCGTGATCGACGCCGACGACAAGCACGCACACACAACGCCATGTATTGGTGGACAACCGCTCTGCTTCTTGCGGGCTCCGGCTTGCTCACAGAGACCGTCGCGTTTCCCGCAAACTTCGACCACCGTCGCGATGACTCTCCCATCGAATCGCATCCGTTCGCGGACTTTGGGCCAGTTGGACCCTCTGTCGTGAAGCGCGCTGACAAGCCTGATTTGCGCATCTTGCCGCTGGGAGCCTCCATCATGAGCGGTGTTGGATCCAGCAATGGGAATGGGTACTGAGAATTGTAACCCGATATCTTTCTCGCAAGCTAATATTTTCCAGCTTAAGGAAGCCTCTGAGAGATGCCCTCCGATTCGACGGTTACGAAGTTGACATGGTCGGCGGTAGAAATTCGGGAACCATGAAGGACAATGTGCGTTGCCTCAAATGTTCACCGCAACTCAGCTAATATTCTTCTGACAGGACCATGAAGCTGTTCCGGGAGATATTCTCACGGAAATCCGCACGCGGCTCCAGCACGCTCTCGGATACAAGGTAAGTGCCAGCACTTAAATCGTTTGGGGATACGCAATCAGCTAATGTCCGGCAAGGCGAACGTGATCATCATCAACGGAGGGACGAACGATGCAGTACGAAACATCGACACTGGAAACGCGTACAGCCGAATGAACAATATCCTCAACGACATCTGGAACTCCGAAGATATGGGCGAATCCTGTGTTATCCTGTCCACTCTCCTTGACACATCGGACCCAACTGGCACTGTCCAGCGAATCACGATCAACAACCAATACCGAACACTGGTCAACGACAGGAAGGGCGATGGCAAGTGCATAGTCTTGGCTGATATGGATCCCGAGGAAGGATCGCAGCATGGATGGATCAACGCTTGGGACACTTGGGGAGACTACACCGACAACGAGAACCCTCATACGCACCCCAACGTAAGGCTCAATCACGAACCAGCTCTTGTGACTTGGCTAACAGCAGACTTCCAGGACGAAGGGCATCGAAAGATGGCGTACATCTTCTACAAGGGCATTCTCAAAGTTCTTGCGACCGGCCAGGTTATGCCGCCATCTACTGAGTTCGAGGTGGCTGATCCAGTCTGCGACAAGTTTTCTGGCACTGGTCTCAATCCTGGTGGAAAGACGCAAAGAGGCACTGGCAACGACGACGACGTCTACCGTCACTACAGCGAAGAGAGGGGGGTGAGTGAAATTACACGAAGCCTTTATTTGAATGTCGGCTAACCCGAGTAGATCGTCTGGACTGCCGAAAGCGAGTGGGATCGAGACCAATGGCGATTCGCTCGATTGTACTCGAACAAGTACGACGACTTCGTTGCATGGGTCAAAGTCAGTAGCACCGAGAACGTGTTTGCTGTTTGGTGAGTTGGAACAAATTCATGGTATTGGATGTTATCGGCTAACACGCCACAAGGGCAAATTCGGCAGACGGAAAGGGCAACTTCGCCCAGGTTTCGGACCTCTCTCCAGGCATGTACTGCGAGCCTGCCGGCCAATACTTCATCGACATGAACGGCGACGGCCTAGACGACTTCGTATGCATTGACAGCAAGGGCAACGCACACCTGTCGATCAACAACGGCGACGGCAACCGATCAGCAGGGAAGCCACCTTCCTTCAAGGCTCTCGGGCAGATCAAGACTGCTGAGACCTCGAGTCGATCCAACGTGCGCATGGGCGATATCGATGGCGATGGACGCGGGGACTATATTGTCATTGACAAGCTCGGCGCCGTTAGTGTCTGGCGCAACGGCTGGGTGGACGATAAGCCCAAGTACTGGCAGGCACTGGGTACTCGATGGACCGACCAATACACTCGCGACATCACGGGAGTTCAATTCCACGACATCAACGGAGATGTAAGTTCAGCCTGCATTTGATGTGACAACATGTAAAAGGATTGGGACTAAGTGCTCGCTTAGGGACGCGATGATTGGCTTTGGACCGACAAGACTGGTGCTACGACAACCTTCACCAACAGCCGCTCTTGCAAAAAGGGAGTGGAAGGAAATGGCCTCAACGTCGCCTGGCGTCAGGGCTTCTTCGAGACTGAAGGCACCGGTCCTACGCACAAGGGTGTTCCTGGCTATGTCACCAAGGACGAGTCCGATCTGCGCAAGCGAGTTCATTTCGCCCGAGTCTATGGTGGCTCCTCGTCTTTCGGCAACCTCTCCCTGAAGGACTACGTTTTCCTCGAACACACAAAGCTCTCGAACGGAAATCACAGCTTCAAGATGCGCATCTGGAAGAACACTGGAGGTGGCGCATCTAAGCTGAAGATGGACGGTAACAAGTACTGCAACATGGTCGGACACGAGGACGGCCGTTCTGATTACGTGTGGGTATGGTCTAACGGCAAGATGGAGCTCTTCATCAATCGAGGCAAGAAAGCCATTTCCGACAATGACGCTGAAGGGTTCTGGGACTGGTCGCCCGGTGTGATCTGGACGCCCCCTTCGGCGATGCATCGACTGGACCTTCACCTCGCGGACTGGGATGGGGACGGTGCGTGCGACATAATCTACGTCAACCCGGAAACAAACGCGCTCAGAGTCTTCATCAACAACTATCCTAAGTCAAACAAGTGGGAATTCAGCGAGACCTCCGCCCCGAGCCCAGGTTGTGGGGAGAAGAGAGGAGTTGGTATAAATGATTGTAAGTTTCCAAAAATTCTGTTTGGCATGACAATGAATGCTGATTGTACTAGTGGCGGTCCGTTTTGCGGATCTAACGGGCAACAAGCGAGCCGATTTCCTGTGCCTCCGTCCAGACGGATACGTCTCCGGCGCTCTCCACCAGAATGACGGAAGCTTTAAGGACGTCGGCCAGATCAAAGTTGCCGAGGGCCACGACCGGGCGATGCTGCGGTTTGCCGATGTCAACGGTGATGGCAAGGACGACTTCCTGTGGATCGAGAAGTTCTCGGGCGACACGTTTGCTTGGTACAATGGTGGCGAAGACAGTAGCCGGCCTCTGGGATCCGCGTTTTACTGGCGCCAGCAGACTGAAAAGGCTTATGCTGGTCTCGCTGCCGGCACTTGTCTCTTCTACACCGACCTTTCGGGCGACTGGCGCGCTGACGAGCATTACGTGCTCGAGTCCCTCAACAACGTTGCCGAGACGTCGTTCAGCCCGGCATGTGGTCTGAGCAACGTCGAAGGCGATGATCCTGAGGGAGTGGTCGACCCTCAACTCCCTGTGAGACCGGATGACAACGGCGACGACGAGGTTCCCGACGGCGTTTGTGCCTACCCGATCCTTGGCACAACGCAGTTGACGCTCCAGAATACCTGGGAAAAGTCAGGCGCCGCTGACCATCTGAATAAGTATTTCAAGACGCATGGCACGGATGGCTGGTCGACAAACTACTTGTACGACATTCTTGGTACCCAGCATGACTGTGGCGATATCTTCTCGAAAACGTGCACGCCGCCGACTTCGAAATGCTCCACATACGATCCCAACGAGGCATTTTTTGTCCACCAGCAGATTGCCAATTTGCATAGTGGCATGTTCAAATGGTGGGGCATGATGGTCAACGACAGTGTCAGCGCTCTCGGCAGCGACATCACGGACATTGTGGACACGTACGGCACTCCCAGTGAAGATCCCGTCACCACGCTGAACATGCTCGTCGGCCTCTTCACCAGCCTGGCGGGGATAGCGGGAACGATCGGAGACGCTTTGCCTGGAACCACGGCAGCCGGCCTTGGGAAGTTTGTCAACCCGATGACTTTGATAGCCGGTGCCATTGCCATCACCGCTACCAACGACCTGAACGAGCCCACTATTGACCCTGAGGACCTCGAAAAGGACCTGAAGAAGAGCTACACCAAAATGTTCTCGGCAATTTCGGACAGGGCAAGGAGTACTCTTGAAGCCACGTTGAATGGAAAGCCGCTTTCTGGGGAGATGCTCAAGAGAGCCGGTGTAGCTTCGATGCAGGAGTATATCCAGCGCCAGTTCGCTGATGGCGCATGGTTGAGTTCAGAGTTGATTGGCGACTTGGTGGATGCCATGGCGCAAAACGTCTTCCAGAAATTCGTAAGATTCTTCTCAATGCCGTTCCTTTAGGTGGAGAATCGGTAGCTGACGAGTCGCACAGAGAGAGTATGCCTTGGTCAAAGCCATCAAGACCAACACCAAAAGACAGTACATCTTCCTTGTCACTGGACCGAAAGCGAAGGTGGTATACAATGTAAGTCAAGTTAGTATCAACAAACGGGCTGGAAAGCTGACCACACGCCGCAGAATGAACTGGTCTACATGAGTCAAGAGGCTTGCGAATCAATGTCAGCCCGTGTTTGGCACGATGATGTGAGTTGCCCCCACGAACACGAAGTACGCGCGATTCCTAACCATCTTTCAGTTGTGCCTTGCGATGGGCTATACCGAAATCAACGTTGCCGACAAGCAGGTGTGGAAGACTGTTGAAGACAAGGAAGCCGACGGCATGAAACAGTGGATTAAAGACTTCCGCGCGGCCATGGTCAACAACTACGAGTGCTACAAAAAAAAGGGGTCTGATGGCAAGCTGGATGATCCGGAGTTTCCGGCGCCTTTTGACGCGGCTGCCACGATCGAGTATCCGCAATGCTTTTGGAACATTTGGTCTCATGAAGATCTTGATTAGGGGAAAGGGAATGGTGGATTACGGCTGAACGCCCTTGGTCTTCTTTGTATATACTTCAACTCTGCTTGACTCACTCTTTTGAGTTTCATTTGTGAAATAATACATAATATCCATGTCTCATTTACACAGGACATGCTAAGCTTCTCCTGTTCTCGCATACAGTGACACGGCAGCTCTCTATCCACGGCCGTTCATTTCTGGTACTGGAGTCTGGCTCACGGACCAGCTCATCATCACAAAAGGCTTTCCAGACTTGGGCAATTTCACAGAGGCCTCTCGGGAACCCAGGCCATGGCTCGTTCTCCCGCCATTCCGTCTCACCCCGGCTTTCTGCTAGCGAGTTAAAGGCCAGTCGTGTCTTGGCAACCTCAACGATGACCTGGGGTAGGTGGGAGCCGCCGCAAGTTATCCCGAAGATTCCCCTGCGCTCCCGAAGATGTCCCGCCATGGCTCGTGTGTGAGTCTGGTGATGACCGACACGACAACTGCCACGAGTACTATAAAGGAACTATATTTGCCTAATGTTTCCTTTCAAATGGCAATATTGAGCTTACGAATATTCTTTTTGGTGCCACGCAATGGTATTAGGAACGAGTGCCGCAGTCGCTGAGACTGCGGAATCCCCTTCCGGCGATGTAGGGCGTCATGTAGGGCGCCATGACTACGAGAATATGATATCTGGCCAGCCGTCAGTCCCACATGTAATACATTTGTCGTCTCCGCTGACAAATGTAAGGCACGACTGTCTAGCCCCAGCACTGATCGACTTGAGAAGACGTGCATGTCGGAAAATACTCAAGTATAACAGCACCCTCCCTCCAGAATATTCGCCCGTGGTAGAGTCTTCCTTCCGAGACACTTTGCTTCGAGAGATCCTTGGAAAGGTTGGTGCGTCCCCGTTGGTCGAGTCCCCTTTGACAGTTGGATATGGCTGCAACATTGAGGTCGGAGACGGCTTCATCGCCCAGTCGAAGTAAGTCGCCCATTTTCTCACAGCATTCCACGAATACTGACCATGGCAGTCTCGTGATTCTCGACAGTGCAATGGTCAAAATCGGCCACCGCGTTTCCTTCGGTCCATCCGTAACGATAATGACGGCGACGGAAGGCAAGGGGCCCGCCGATTCTTGGCAGCGGCAGTATGCTCAGCCAGTCTTCATCGGAGATGACTGTTGCATCGGCGCAAACGTGACCATTTTTCCAGGAGTGTCAATTGGAAGAGGCTGCAAGATTGCTGCTGGAAGTTTCGTGCGAAATGACATACCAGATTTCTCAGTTGCATTGGGAGGACCGGCCAGAGTTGCGCCAAAGACGTCGAATTCGAGTCGTCGATGGCTCTCAGAATCTGTCTTTTCTACCACCGAACTTCATGGTAGCTAACTCAAGACGCTATCCTAGTCAGATGCGACAGTTGACGAAGCGACAGCCGATGAACCTTGGTCGCGTGACGACTAAGAAAATCCGCTGCCATCGCGGATTCCTCCGCTGTTCAGCTGATGCGGTCATGCCGACATCTGGGCTGATCAAGAAGTTCTTGACACTCACTTGGTGGTGGGCCTCCTAGCGAGTCTGTCGGCCCTGCATTCCGCCAGAAGTGGGCCAAAAAGAACACGGAGTTCTTCCCGAGCACTTGTCTTCCGGACTTCAGCCGAGACAGACGCGGTCCTGACCAATGGCTACCAGGGGAGCTTTGTCTTGGCCAATTCTCCGCTTGGTTCTCGGTTGGCTTTGGCGTTCAGGGGTACACGGTCTTTCTCTTGACCGCGACTCACGCGTCTCTTGGCCTCGCTGGGTAGATGCCGCGACATCCAGGCCTACGGCCCGTTCTATCTCCGGATGTAATAGTTCGAGTACGAACAGAATGGTGCAGTTCCGAGGTCTTCTTCCGAGCCTGATCGTTCACAGAGTCCCCGACCCGACCTGACGGTTGCTTGGCGCCGAGTGGCTCGATGTCGCCAGCCCAGTTTGGAGAAGTTAAAAGTGGAACAGTATGTCTTCTTGGGTATGAATGCCCGCTTGAGCGGATGATGGCCGCATCACTACAGGTAAGTTACAGTCTTTACTATGAGACTCGCATGAAATGTTTCGATCTAGAGCGCTGACTATGGGACTTCAGGCCAGCAAAAGCCGCCCACACCAGCTAAGTCGAATAAACGCAGCAATGTACCAACACCATAATGGTCTAGCTAGCTGCTATTGCAGCCATTGCAACATTATATTCACTGGCAATGACACACAAATCTTGCGTACTCATCCTCCTCCTCATGTCTCGGACTCTCGCGCAACCCGCATCAACGGTTGCTGAGGGCGACAGTCCTCCGACCTGACCATGTTGGCGCTTCCAGCTGCCATTCGATGCTACGCCAAGCTAGAAGGGCCGTATGTCAACCCCGGTCTGCATCGTGGAGACCCCACAAGCTGACATCCACACCTAAGGTGAGCGGCATGGCATCGCGCCCCCTTTACCGCAGTCCGCGCGCAGCAATTGCGATGTCTAGAACCCGTGTCCCACTGAAGCTGCGATGGGGGTGGAATCTCTGGGGTTGGATGGATTCTCCGGGGCTGGGCCACAGTGTTTCGGGCAATCCACTCGCTGGTTCAACTCTGACGACATGCAAGCCAACAGTGGTACGGTTTCTTGGCCTCGGCCGCGTCGTTACCCAAGAGGCGGTTGCGATTTAAGTCCCAAGCGCTCCCTCGAACTTCAAGCCGACGCTGTTTCGCTTGTCTCTCACCAATCTTATCGACTTTCCAAAATCCTTCCGTGCTGTTTGGCGACCCCACATCATCGTTGACATGAAGCAGCCGTCAGGTGGAGAAGCCAAGGCCGTTGGCCATGAATTGGCCAGTGTTCTTCCCAACGATGGCATTCCATGGTGGAAGAAGAGGCATCTGATCAAGCTCAACTTCTGCATCGTCTCCTTCATGTTGTTCACCAGCTCAAACGGCTTTGATGGCTCTGTTATGAACGGTTTCCTGGCCTTGTCTCAGTGGAAAGACTTCATGGGCAATCCCACAGGTGCATGGCTCGGGTTCATCAACGCCATGTACTCTCTCGGAGCCGTCATTGGCTTTCCGCTCACTGCGATGCTTTGCAACCGCTGGGGCCGCAAAATTGGCCTTTGGCTCAGCGTGTTCATCTCCTTGGTCGGCACTGCTCTGCAAACCGCTGCTCCTAATCAAGCCGCGTTCATTACCGCCCGTTTCTTGATGGGTGTTTCCCAGGGTCTTTCTGTCGGGGCACCCCTGTTGATCGCCGAGAACGCGTTCCCCACGCACCGTGGAATCGCATCAAGCATGGTAGGCCAAGACGTCTTTGGATTTCATGTTTCGAGTCACCTAAGCTAACGAGAGAAAAGTACAATTCGGGTTGGTACGTCGGTGCAATTGTTGCTGCGTGGGCGGTACGTCGTGAACTCTGCTCATTCCTCTTATGCGGCTGAAGACTAATGCGTTATAGACCTTTGGCACAAGGAACATGGACGGCTCAGCAGCCTGGCGTATTCCCTCTGGCCTGATGGCGCTTCTACCCTTGATGACCGTGCCTGCTCTATTTCTCATGGATGAGTCCCCACGATGGCTGGTCTCTATGGATCGTGCGGACGAGGCAAGAATGAACCTCGCCAAGGCCCACTGCGGCGGCGATATCAATGCACCTCTTGTCACATTCGAAATGGTCGAGATTGAGGAGACTCTGAAGGCTGAAAAGCTTGCTAATGAGAGCACTTCCTGGGCTGATTTGTGGTCTACTCCTGGAAATCGTCATCGCCTTTGGATCTCTGTCTCGCTGGGCATCTTTGCCCAGTGGTCTGGTAAGTCAAGTACCGATTAAAGTCACTGCATAGATCGGGACTAATAAGAACATCGTGTAGGAAATGGAGTGGTATCGTATTACTTGGCGATCATTCTGGAGTCTGTCGGTATTACCTCAGTCACGGATCAGACACTCATCTCCGGATGCCTTCAGATCTGGAATCTTATTTGGTCCGCAGCGGCTGCGATCTGCGTCGACAAAGTTGGGCGCAAAGCTTTGTTCATGGCTAGCGGTATCATCATGCTCGTCTCGTACATCATTGTCACAGGTCTGTCGGGAAGCTTTGCAACCAGCGGGAATGGTCCTACTGGAATTGCAGTTGTTCCATTTTTATTCATGTAAGTCTTGATGCGTCTTGCCTCCATTATCAGTCTAGGCTAATGCGTCTACAGCTACTTCCTCGGATACGATATTGCCCTCACGCCCCTGGTGATCTCATACCCTGTTGAGATCTGGACGTATCAGATGAGAGCTCGCGGACTGGCAGTCTGCCAAATGGTCTCGCTCGGAGCCATCTTTTTCAACACCTTCATTAATCCCATCGCCCTGGATGCTATTCAATGGAAGTACTACTTCGTCTTCGTCGCGATTTTGGTCGCAATGTTGGTGACGGTCTGGTTCACATACCCTGAAACTCGAGGACGAACTCTCGAGAGCATCGCCTGGCTGTTTGATGGAGATGAGGCAAACGTTGGAATTGCCACCGCCGAAAACACACTCAAGAGCACCAACCAGCATATTGAGGACCATGCTACAGACGAATCTCAGGAGAAGCAGTGATGAAAATCGCGAAACACTCGAAGAATCAGCAACCACGCATGACATGCAGCAATTGCAACTCAGAGTTGACGATGTTTCTGTAGGAGGCAGATGTCAAGAAAAAGCCTTGACCAAATTTAATTCCATTCCTCTTCATCATACTTCTACAGTACAACCAAGTGTTGCGGGTTTTTTTGTAAAATCCTCCAGGCTCTAGTCTCCCTATATTAAACTTCTTTGTTCTTGTCCGCGCCGGTGAAGTCATCAGCTTGGGAGGACCAGCTTACCATCAGCATCTAGATATTCTTTGGCAATCACGTCAACTGCTCGTCTCAGCCTCTTCACAGATTCTCGAATCTCTTCCTCGGTGACAATGAAAGGTGGCGATACCACAACTGAATCCATCTTCCAAGTCCCAGGGAACCCCATGTTCTTCAGCACAAGAACGCCCTGGTTCTCGACCGCTTCATCCACCACTCGATGTGAAAAATCGTCGCCCATCGGGAAAGGTGTGCGCGTCGCAGTATCGCGCATGAATTCAACAGCCCACAGCAGCCCACGACCGCGGATGTTGCCTGTGAGTGGGTGTTGACCGAGCTCTTCGTGCAGCAGCCTCCCAAGAAGCTCGCCCTGCTTTCTCACATTCGACAGAAGGTCTTGCTCCCTGATGATCTTCTGAACTGCGAGCGCGGCCGCACATGACGTCGGATGTGCCTGGAACGTGTGTCCGCCTGCTAGCGCGCCTTGTGGCGTTGCAATTGTGTCGAAGATGCGTTGGTGAACTAAGACTCCAGAAACCGGGATAAAACCACCACCGAGCGACTTTCCGATCATTTGCAGGTCGGGCCCGCTGATTTCCTCTTGCTGCCAGGCGTGGAGAGTACCTGTTCTACCCATCCCACATAGAACTTCGTCAAGGACAAGCAATGCCCCATGCTTGTCGCATATCTCCCGTACAGCCTTGAAGTAGCCCTTAACTGCAGGAACGGAAGCAAGTGTTGATCCTGCAACAGTTTCGGCGACAAAAGCTGCGACCGTGTCAGGCCCCAGACGCTGGAACTCCGCATCAAGCTGGCCTATGAGCCGCTCAAGATATGCTTCGTCAGACTCGTCGTTCATCTTGCCGCGATATGAACAACAGGCATCCACGAACGACACATTCTCAGACATCCAGTGCCGATAGATGTCGCGGCGGCCCTCGTGTCCGGTGATACATAGAGCACCGAGAGTGTTGCCGTGGTAGCTCTGCTTGCGCGCGATGAAGTTTATGCGTTGCTCTTCTCCCTTTGCAGCCCAATATTGAGTGACCAGTTTCAGCATAGCTTCGGTTGCTTCACTGCCTGAGCCTAAGAAAATGGCTTTGCTGAGACCACCAGGATTGCCTTCAAGGATATACGAAGCTAGCTCTTCCGTCGTATCTTCACAAAACCCGCCGCCTGAGAATAGGTAGCCTATTTTGTTCAGTTGCTTGGTGACAGCTTCAGCTACCTCAGGCACATTATGCCCAAGACAGGCCACGCCAGGCCCTCCTGTGGCGTCGATAATCGTTCGCCCGTCATCGAGGGTCAAGGTCGTTCCCGAAGCTGAGACTATGCGTAAAGGCTTTTGAGAGAAGGAACGGTGGAAGATGCTTGAACTTTGGAAAAAGTTGTTGAGAGCCATTGTGGAAGAGAAAGTGGTTCATGAATGCTGTTCTGTTGGTCAAGGGCTTCGGGCTGAGTATGTGGCCAGAGTTAGGGTATTTTAAAGAGAATCAATTAAGCACGATACCTTCTACGCCGCCCAAATTTGTGAAGGCAGAGCGATGTCGGATACTGAACAGAAACGTCGTAAGGCTCCATCAAGAAGGATGCTTCGATGTAAGGTTGCTTATGCCATCGGTGATCTCAGGGCCCTTAACAGCAGCCAATGAAGAAATGCGCGCCGGAACCGCTCTAGATCTGGGGTAAGCTCTTAGCGTTGGACACCTGCTGGCAAGGGGAGCCTAGTCACCGATGACATGCTTTATCGTGCGAGATACGACCCCAGCTGTGCTATTATCGCATCGACCAATCAGAAAATGCCCGCCAGAACCGCCCGGCTAAACGCAAGCGTGAATACCTTCAATTCTGTGGCCGGTGCAAACTGGGGAAAGTTCTTGACCGCGATACGGTAATTGCTTTGACCGCTTTTATAGAGGCGGGGTTACCAGAAACTTAGATTCAGAGGACGAGGTGCTGATATGGCTACGTGACCTAAAGGAGGAGTCTTCGTAATGGATGTTGAAGAAGCATCTCCGATAAAGCGGAGCAAACTTATCTGTGCAAGGCAGGGGCTTCGGTCTGGACACTACCGAGAGATAAGACCTAGAACGACACCACGCCATATCGTTCAACACTTCAATTACTTATTCAGCCCTTATGAGACGTAACCTCCGCAAATCTCTAGGTGCATCATGCGTCGATGACCACTTTGCTCTTCTTTTCTTTTTTACCGTTGCTTCGGCTTAGACGACTAACAACGTCTTGGTGTCTTGGCCCCTAACACAAATCAGGTTGTTGCTTGACGTCCGTCGATATGTCCGACTCACTGCGAATGCCGCATGGTGGTTCTCTTGAACAGAAAAGAGCAATGGACAAAGCAGGGCCAAGAGTCGACTTCGAAGACGGCGATGTCCAAAGTGGCCATGTGGACGCATCCGACCACACCCACCGAAGACTGAAGCCCCGGCATATCCAGTTGATTGGAATTGCTGGCACTATCGGCACTGCGTAAGTACCCACGAACCCGACTTGGCAGAAAAAACAAAGTTTTTTTCTTACACGGCTGATGGTTTTAGACTATTCGTCAACATTGGAAAGGGCTTGCTAAGCGGAGGTCCAGCAAGTCTTTTCATTGCTTACTGCTTATGGTCAGAGAACATCACCAACTAACTGTCTGCAGACTCGGGCTGACGGCTGCAGGTGTCCTATTGTACTTTCCATTTCCCTCTGTATGTCAGAAATGGCGACGTATCTCCCAGTCTCTTCGCCTTTTATCCGATTTGCTGGCCGATTTGTCGACGAGTCTTTCGGCGTTGCAGCGGGTTACAATTTCTTCCTTTTCCAAGCGTCGCTGTGTGAGCAAAGCCCTATGATCAGCCTCCCCTGACTGCTGCTAACATACTGTCATAGTACCTTTTGAGATCACTGTCTGCAATGTCGTAGTACGATACTGGACCGAAGCCATACCTGTGTGGGCCGTCTGCCTCGTCTTTCTCGCGCTCTACGCCATCCTCAACTTCGTCGCGGTCAAGTTCTTTGGCGAAGCAGAGTTCTGGCTTTCCCTCGGAAAGGTCATTCTTATTGTTGGCCTAATCTCCTACACATTTGTCGTTATGGTTGGTGGAAACCCACGACGCGATACGTTCGGGTTTCGCTATTGGTACGACCCTGGTGCATTCCGGGAACTCTATCGGGAAGGCTCTCTCGGCCGCTTTCTTGGCTTCTTGTACTGCCTCATCCAAGCCGCCTTCGTCATCGCTGGTCCTGAGTACGTCTCAATGACCGCAGGTGAGGCCGAGAATCCAAGAAAAGTCCTACCGAAGGCGTACAGGTCGATATTCTGGCGACTGACAACATTCTTCGTTCTCGGATCTCTTGCTGTTGGAATCGTCGTGCCATCTGATGACGTAAAGCTGAAAGAGGCGTACTCAAGCAGCAAGGGAGGCGCCGCTGGATCACCATATGTACGGTCGATGGATATCCTTGGTATTCCTATCTTGCCGCACATTGTCAATGCCTTGATCTTGACATCCGCCTTCAGTGCCGGCAATAGCACGACATACTGCGCAACACGAACTCTGTACGGCATGGCTCTTGAGGGCAAGGCCCCTCGCTTCCTATCCAAGTGCAACAAAGCCGGCGTGCCTTACTACTCCGTTGCGGTTGTCATGTGTTTCGGTGGTCTCTCCTTCCTGCAGGTTTCCAACTCAACGGCGGTGGTTCTCAATTGGTTCGTCTCTTTGGTTACAGCCTCTCAACTGATCAACTTCTGCGTCATCGCCTTCACCTTCACACGTTTCATGAAAGCTTGCAGCGCCCAAGGGATCTCCAGAGACTCACTGCCTTACAAAGCACCGTTCCAACCGTACACGACTTGGTTCGCGTTCACTTGCTGTTCCATCATGGTCCTAATCGCTGGGTATAGCATCTTCATTGACGATAACTTCACTGTTCCTGATTTTCTCTTTCAGTACATGATGGTTGGCGTATTTCCGGTGGTGTTTGGTTTCTGGAAGGTATTGAAGAAGACGAAGTGGCTACAGCCCACCGAGGTCGACCTTACGACCGGCGTATGGGAGATTGATATTTACACGGAGAACTTTGTGCCCACGCCTTCGAAGACAGCGTTTACGCGAGCTCTGGATAAGGTGTTTAGTTAATCGTCTGTACATATCGGTTTCTGCAGTGTACTGAATTTGATACAATATTACAATGGTTGCCTCCAATGTGAAGTGCTTGCTTTCGCCAGCTGTCGGCGAGAAATGCGACCTCAAACGATGGAAAGCTTCCACTGCCTCCTGTCCAAAACGTCACGCCAATCGACTTCCTTCATTGATAGTCGAAGTTGCCAAAGCTCCTCAAGAACCCTCAGCGCACAATCATAGTTGTAAAGATGCCGGGATACCACGATTGACTTCATCTTCGTTCTTATCGCCTCGATGTCGTCTGGTTGGCTGATCTCTCCACCGCAGATAAAAAGGGGAAAGAGCAACGAGCTCTCAACAAGACTTTTGTGGGAAATTTTGCGTAGTCGTTCAATGATACCATGAGCCAGCGAGGGAGTCTTGATCTGAAAGTCAGTGCTGCCTGGAAAGTTGCGACGCACTACTCGATGAAGATGGATTAGGGCGGCATTTCGGTACATCTCGGCAAGGTCCACCAAACCCTCAGACTGTTCAGCGGCGTCGCATTTCCAAGTGATTAGCTCCTCTTCCAGCTTCAGAGCTCTCTCCCGAAAAGCACTCTTGACAAAATCCTCCTGAAGATGCGACTGCATCATATCGGCATTGAGCACGCTGGTCTCCGAGATCAGGAACAGAAGCCGAGACCCAACTCCGAATAAGCTATCTGGGAGCTCCTTCTCTCCAAAGAACCAATAATGCCCGGCTACCAGGAGAGGCCGAGTATCTGCGGCCACTGCTGCCATGATATCATGGTAAGCGAAACTCCGCAGAAGCCATTGGCCCTCGAAAGAGGAAAACGGACCGGTATCCCAGGTCGCAGCTCCCTTGTGACAGACAGACCGCATCACTTCATTGGCGCCGGTGAGATGTGTCCACCATTGCTTGGTATCGCCAGATATGCTTTCCAAGGCACACTGTACCAGACAACAGGCCATCTCAATCTCCGGCTCTCGCTTAGCGGATGATATCAAGGTTGTGAGTGATCGCAACGCCCTTCCCCGGCATTGCAGAGCTAGCCTTTCGTAAGAAGCCTCCAACTGGGCCAGATGGGTCGATGACCAAGCTATGATAGTGTCGAGGAAGGCTGGCGAGTCCATGGCAAGTGGCAAGAAGACCGATATGAAGCAATTGTTTTCCAGGTTTGTAGTAATCAATGCGGCGAGGGTTTGGGTGTAATACCGCATAACCACCCTTCTTTGAGCCGCGAAATCTTCTGGAATATGGGCGCCGCCATGTTGCAGCCAAAAGGCTGAGATGTCCGGAGTCTTGGTACTCAAAGAAGCAGACGGGCCACGTGGTTCTTGACACTCGGCGGAGGGGTCTTGAGGGGCCGACTTGCGTGGACGACCGCGTTTTCGCGGCTGTTTTAAATCCTCTCTGCGGCAAATGAAATTCAGGCGGCTACATGCGCCGCAGATGGGATAGACTTGATCGCATTTCTTCTTGCTGTTCACTCATGTTGGCCAAGTCTTCGATGCGGGGAATGAACACTGAGACCCACCGATCACGACACGTCAGACAGCCGTTGCGTAGGCGTTTTCGCGACATGCTTGCTCCAACTTCGCTAGTCATGGTCTTGACCTATTGCTGCGAAAAGCTGATGATGCGACTGCCAATTGAGAACCAATAACCAAGACCGGACAGCCAAAAACACCAGACTTTGGAGAGGTAAGGTTGGGTTCATGCAAGCCTTATCATCAGCAGCCTTCAGGGCTTATCTATCTAACTAAGCGACATTGCAGCTACTGAGTCCTTTCTTCTTACTGCGTGAGGAGTCGAGCCCTGAACCATGCGCACCTTATTAGCCTCCACTCTCTCAGAGCCACCCACTATTGGGAGCTCACGTCAAAACACAGATGCTATCAGCAAGAGTTCCTCGCCATGTGTTTAGTTTTCATTATGCTACTCTAATTATTTTAGGCTATTATGACGCGTGGAAAGCGTTCACTCACCAGCCTCGCCTAACTCCCGAACGCAGCTGGCCGGTCTTCTGGCACGCGTCGTGGCTCATTCCGGCCGACCCTAAATAGGCCTCGCCTTTCTACGAACCGTTCTCGCACAAGTAGCGGAAGATGTGTGTCATCCAGGCTATTCTAATCCTGACGTTCAATTACCGAATCAGCGGAAGATCTACTGTCTCAAATCCGGTGGCTTTCCACTAGGACAAGTTAGTGCCAGCACGCCCCTGGCCTTGACTAAACCAAAGTAAAGCTGAGACGCCGGGGCCCGAGGGATGGCATCATTGTTTCCTTAGTCTCCCTTGATATTCAAACCTTTATTGTCAATCTTCCTTGTCTTCCTGCCAATGAACACTCGAAAGGCCCATCGTCCATGTCGTGATGCCACACTCTGCCGCCGACAGAAACCTCTGGCTGGCCTATGCCAACGCAGTCAAGGAGGCCATCCAGTTTGAGCCAACACATGGTACTGCCCTGTACCTCTCCAGCAAGGCCCAGAAAGGTCCCTTTGCTTCGCCACGGATACCTCTGGAATATACCAATGCCGGCATCTATGAAGCTGCGAATAATCATCTGCGAACAGGAGACCTTTTCTATCACCCAGATTCTCGAGATTCTTATGTGAAGTCTCTCAGGACGTGAGTCACTTGGCACTGAAAATAGAAAATGCTCAGCTGATCACAATGTTATAGATTTCTCCAATCAGTTGATGCCGTAAGCGAGGTCTGCCAATCCGCTGCTGAGTGCGCGCTTCAACTGACATGCACATCTGCAGGGTGCCAGGGGTGATGTTCACATCAGCATCGAGAGCTGTATTAGGGAGCTCGAGGATAGCCTTGAGATCTATGAGAAATCCGCGGACAAGGCTCGCCGAACATTCAAAAAGCACTCGGATGTGGGCATGACTGGTGACATGACCTTTTCGCAATGGCACCAGACTAATGCGCCGGCGTTTTGCAACTCTATTCGAGATGTTGAGGTTGCATCTGATGCTCTTCTAGCTGCAGGAAGCGTGCTCATCGGACCGCGAGCGCAGAAGTGGAATCAAGACTTGAGAAAGCTCCTGCATGCAATGATGTCAGAGCAAGAGATACCAGGGTGAGCCAAAGTCAGATATTCACGACATAAGCCGTAAACCCGGGGAGCTGACAGAAAACAGGATGACAATGCCGATTGATATGGACTTTACCCTCAGATCAAGCGAGAAAGCTCAGAAACTGCTCAACAAAATCAAATTGCGCAAGAAGGCAAGTCCGTCAAAAGTCGTGGCTTGCGTTCCTGCGTTCTATTGCCCCGACTATGAGAACGTGGTCAGGGATTGGATCGGCGCGGGCCGTCGCGATGAACCGGGTGATAGGTTATACGTCCGTTACGCAGAAGGAGAAATAGCCGACGAGGGTGGGTTCGGACATGAACAGCAGGGCGACAGTTTCAAATTCACCTACCCGCCTTGGCTCTCATTCTATGTCGACGGACACGAGTTGCCTTTCAAGGCCGTCATGCAGGACAGCGATGTGGACATTACCATATCTTTCGACAACCTGAGAATCGTTAAAGTTGCCCCTGGCGCATGGTAAGTTCTCGTTGATCCGCTTCCTCCTTGGAAAGACTAGGTCTGAATTATCTCAACCAGGAATTTAGACAGCCTAAGTTCATCATATCCTCGGATGAAGGCAGGCCTTTCTACGGACACAAATAAGATCGCACAGCCTCACAGACTCGTTGTGATCAATAATCTGGTCTTGAGGATTTCTTTCAGCGGTCGAGTCGTTGCAGAGGTTGCAAAGCAGCTGAAAAGGATACAGTACTACGGGGGATTTCTGAATGTCTTGGGAGTCTCTGCAGCAATAGACCAAGACAGGAGCACTGATCAGACATCACATACAGCCACGTGGAATGCTGAAGATGGTGTGCTTGAGGTCATTCCAACCGTCGATGGAGGCTTCGCAACATTCATTGGGACGATTGGCAAAGCGCTTTGAACATAATCTTCTTAAGAGACGACATGACATCTACGTAGTATACTCTTGTATAACACTGCGTGGCTCGACATACTTACCAAGGGGCTTGTAATCCAGATCATATCCAAATGCCCTTGGTCCACCAATGTCCAGTCCGGCCTGAGTTTCCGTCCATCTCGGTGAACAGGTAATACCGATGACCGTGACTCGATATCCGTACTTGAATTCGGGAACCCCGAGTGCTCGTCCAGACTCATTATCCAAGATGGAGATCAAGTCCGGAACGGCCGCCAATATACTAGTCGTCCCATCCTCGCTTGTATGCTCAGCCAGGATGTTCTCGTTCTTGAACGGAACCTTCAGCATTCCGCCTTGAGCTACAGCCGCAGCTCGGTCTTTCACACTGGCTGCCTCATCCTCGTCTCCGCTTTCGAAAGCAGCAATGTGAACCTCACCGTATGAGTGGCCCTTGAACAGACGACGCTCAACGCGCATGATCTTGCCCCTGAACAGGACCTTGGCTGCTTCCGAGCCGCCAGCTTCCTCGATGATAGATTCGGCGACCGTGCTCATTGTATTGGTTGACTGGCATAGGGCTATGCTTCTTCCGATGCGCCAAGCGAGAGACACGGTATTGAGAACGCCGAACTTCTTGACTTTATCAGACGTGGTCGGCTTCGCAGCCATTCCTACTCGAGAGCCCATCTCGGAGCAGGATGCGCGGAGAGCACGGTCGACGATCTCATCGTTGGGTGCCCTCGTCATGATGATTGTCTTGCCGTCGCCTGAGTCAATCGCACACGGAACTAATTCCAAAGGTGCATGTACTGCCAAGGTCGTTTGCCAGTAGGTCGGGTAGGCTCGCCCCATCCAGTCTCCATCAATGATGGGGCTGTCAAAGAACCTCGAGGAACCTACAAGGAAAGGTTCGAGGCCATTGGCACCACCGATCTCGAGACCCATCACTGCATCGAACTTGTCATGGCGCATGTACTCCATCAATGCTCGGAACGCATCTACTGTTTCAATAGACTGGAGCCTTTCAATGGAAACAGCAGGAGATCCCATGTGACCTTTCATTGTAGTTAGCATCGACCAGTGTTGGCTGACGTTTGAGTCAACTTACCGCCCCAATAAATGAGGTCCTTCTCCCTCAGCGAGGAAGGCTCAATGACGCGCATCGTGTGTCCGTCTCGAAGCATGTTTCGCAATTGTATCTTAGAGGCTGCGGGACTTCCGCCTCCAGCACAGCCAAGAACGTAGCAACCGTCAGCGAGGTAGTCCAAGTCTGTTTCGCTGATGATCCACTCCGCAATTCTGTCCTTGTTGACCTTGATGTCGGGCTTATAGGAAGCCGGATCGACCTTCTCCTCTTCCTTCGTAGCACGGTTCAAGTCTTTGCTGGCCTCTGTTTGCTCTTCTCCAAAATCCTCGTCCCCTAGTTCACCAGCATCGTCCAGCTTCGCATGTAGATCGATATCTCCAACTGCCTTCACCAAAGTTCGGACCTGGTTGGCCACATATTGCAACGGCATTGTCTCGACCTCGGCGATTTTGACGCTTTCAGGGATAGCGCCAGCAGCAACAGCCCGCTCAATCGCTATCTTCTTGGCGTTGTCAATAGCCTGGCCTTCTGTTTGGTGGGTGGTGCCTTGCACGATATCAACCGCGCCGCAGACTCTGGCAATGGCGGCACCAACAGCATTCGCAACATCGTGGAATGGTGGCCGAATCAGCTTCGAAGCTCCCTTGAGACTGTCCGGTGATAGTATGGCGCCGCCACCGACGAGTAGGACTGGGACTGGATCTGGCGACGTCTTGATGACATCTACAGCCCCTTCAAGAAGGGCTTTGATCCGAGAGATTGCCTCTTTGACAAAGCCGTTCTCCAATCTCTTCACCTTCTCAGTAGCACCAACGACTGCTTTGCCTGCCGCTACTGCCACGTCCGTTGTGGTGCAGACATCGCCTCCAAAGACAAGTGCACGACTCAAAAGCTCGAGTCCCACAGACTCTGGCCCAACTTTGACCTTGCCATCCACATTTCTGACAATGGAGCCCCCACCGAGACCAATCGAGTGAAGATGCGGCATGGAATAGTTGACTCGGACGCCGGCAACAGTAACATACGCGGAAGCTTGTCTCGGCATGCCTGAAGGAAGTAAGACGCCAACATCTGACGTTGTGCCACCGATATCGACAACGATCGCGGAACTATCACCGCCAGAATCTAGGCCGGCAAGGTACGCTGCGCCTCGCATCGAGTTGGTCGGCCCACTTGAAAAAGTGCGGATCGGAATCTTCGCCGCTGATGCAGCGTCCAAGATGGTACCGTCATTTTGAGTGAGGAATAAGGGACACGTGAGATTGAGTCTCTTGATGGCCAAGCGGAACCGGCTAACCGTCTTTCTTGCGTATCGCAGAATGGCGCCGTTCAAGATAGCTGCGTTCTCCCGCTCGATAAAGCCGATGCTAGCGCTGGCCTCTTTGCTGCACACCACATCGATCCCGGGAACCTCGCGGAGGACGATGTCGCGGACCTTCTCTTCCTGACCGAAGACCTCGTCAATAGGCGAATAGACGCCCGAAATGACGACGGCCCCAACACCGCTTTCGCGGATCTTGGCGCACTCAGCGACGACCTGGGCTTCGATGACCGGTGCTTCCTGAGAGCCGTCGATGTGAAGTCCTCCATCGACAATACCGACATACGACTTGAGCACGGCTGCCAGATCTGGCGGGAACTCGGCAAAGGCCGGGACCTCACGAAGGAAAGACTTGCTCAGTCGGAGGACGCCCACTTTCTGAAGACGCCGGACATCGCGCTCAATGACAGCGTTGATGAAATGCGTAGTTCCAATTGTGACGCTGGCTATGCGCTCCGGAGAGTTCGTGAGATCGGCTGCAGCGAGAACAGTGCGTACTGCGGTCTCGATACCGGACGTTGCGTCAGGTGTTGTTGGGGTTTTGAAGTGAGCTAGAACGCCACGGCTCTCGGTGTGTTGAAGACTCAAGTCGATTGCGACAGCATCGGTATTTGTGCCTATTCTCATGCGATCAGCTCATATCCTTCATTTGTCGCGCAGATCACCAAAGGGTAGCTTACCGCCAACATCCACGCCGATGCGTACAGTTCTGCGAGAGGGAGGCATTTCTCCCATGATGGTGGTCTACTTCAGAACTTGATGGTCCCTACGGCCTTCTGGTAGAGTGATTAGAGAGCTTAGTTTCTCATTTAAACCCATGGGGTTTGAAACGACGATCTCGCAGAAGAATTACCCAGAAGATGTAATTACGTGACTTATTTACAAGATGTCGTGTCGTCGGAGATCATCCAACCGGCCGCGCGGGTCTGCCAAAGCGGATAAGCGGGTAAATGGAATTGAGGACAGAACCATTGGCCTGGGTCACTAGATCATCGTCAGCTTAGGCTTGCAACATCGACCATAGGAGAAGAGATAGGAGAAGAGATACTGAGGAATATTCAGGCAGGTACAAGCGCGATGGTTCTCCAAAAGCATGCAGCTAATCATCCCGGCTGTCAGATGCCGAGGGGAGCCATGCGGGGTAGACTGGGTTATCCTGGGATCCCGGCGTTCGACAATTGCCTGAAGTTGCTCTTATCACCGGTGACCCCACAGACGGCGGTAAACTATGATAACAATCGCACAAGACGTTTGGTCTGAGGCTTTAGAGTTGGAGTCGTGACCCCAATGATAAGAGCCCATTCATCCGTTATTCATCCGTTATCAGGACCTGCGCGCGCGGTGCGAGCTTTATCTGTGGAGGCATGATGGCAGTGGTCCGGCATCAGGTGGGCGCGAATGCAACGTCCCCTGAAGCAATAGCGAGCCGTCATGGTAGAATACCGTCCGAAGTGTGCGGGTGGATGCTTGTGATCTCTTGGTGAGCCAGTTCCATTAAACTGGGCGCATGTCCTCCGCATTCCTTCCGAACGACCCAACCTGTTGAGACTGCGAATTGCAAAATGGGCCTCAACGATGTTCTGCGATGGCTGCGGCTGCCCGACACAGAGGTGGCCGAGTCCAACATCTGGATCAATGAGGACATTCGGCCAATGCCTCCGGATCGTCGGAGATGGACAACTTCAACATTTATCTCCTTTTGGCTGACCAACCAAGTTGCCAGTTAGTGTCCCCTGGCTACCGCTGTTTGTTAACAGCTGACTGATCTGATGTAGTCTCCAATTGGCAACTTGGTGCATCTCTCGTTGCAGCTGGTCTTTCTGTGTGGCAAAGTGTTATCGCCATTATCATTGGTAAAATCATCATCGCTGTTGTGGCCATTGCGAACGGGTGCGTGGGTGCAGAATGGCACATCGGGTTTCCGGTTGTGTCGCGTTACATCTGGGGCGTCTATGGACAATACCTCATTCTGATTCAAAGAATCATCTTGAGTCTGGTATGGTTCGCCGTCCAGTCATGGACCGGTGGTTTAACCGTGGTCAACTGGTAAGTGTTGCTACATATAGCATCAACTTCATTGCTCTAACTGGGGAATTCAGTCTATCAGCAATTTTTCCCTCCTTCGAGTCCCTCGGCAATGTGTTTCCAGAGAACTCGCACCTCACAACCAAGGACTTTATTGGGTGGATCATCTTTAACGTTCTGCTTATTCCAATTCTATACATTCGACCCGAGCGTATCCAGAAAGTCCTCCTGGCGTTCAACATCATCTCGTCGGTGACTCTGGTGTCAATCATGATCTGGGCCCTAGCAACTGCTGGTGAAGCAGGTTCTTTGGTACGACAAGGCTCAAAGTCAATGACATCCAGCGAGCTTGGATGGCAAATCGTCCACGGAATCACGACTGTCATTGGGAGCATTGCTGTGGGCTTAACCAACCAGCCCGACTACTGCCGTTTTGCCCGACGCCCAGGTGATCAGATCTTTGGACAGTGGTTCAGCATCATCTTCTTCGGGGCCATCTTTCCGACATTTGGATGCCTAGCTGCCTCCGCAACTGGGGTCATCTATGGCGAGCCGATCTGGAACCCGCCCCTGATTGTCCAAGCATGGCTTGATAGCAACTACAACGCCAAAAGCCGAGCCGGGGCTTTCTTCGCTGGACTCGGTCTCTTGTGCATTCAACTGAGCATCAACTCCGTCGATAATGCGTTTTCAGCTGGCATGGACCTCGCCGGCTTGTTCTGTCGCTACATCAATATCCGGCGCGGCGCTTATATTGGCCTAGTGCTCAGCATCGCGTTGTGCCCCTGGGAGCTTTTGTCATCTGCGTCCGTCTTCATTTCGGTGCTCTCCGCGTACAGTGTCTTTCTCGGACCTGTCATTGGCATTCAGATCTGCGACTACTTCATCATCCGCCGGCGCAAGATCAAGCTGTCCGACCTCTATCATCCCAGGTCAGATGGATCCTTCTACTACTGGAAAGGCATCAACCCACGCACCTTCACCGCCTGGGTGTGTGGTTTCGCGACTCAGTTGCCTGGCTTCGCAGCTAGTGTCACTCCAAACAGCGTTCATGTGGCCGATGCTTGGATCAACCTGTACTATCTCGCCTTCCCTCTTGGCTTTACCATATCGTTCTTGCTACACCTCGCTATCAACACCGTCTGGCCACCTCCAGAGGCTGGTGTAATTGATGATATGGACTACTATGGGACATTTACCGAGGAAGAGGCTAGGAAGATGGGCGTCGTTACACTCGAGACGGAGGTTATTGAGGGTTCACCAAAGGCTGTTGAAGCGAGTGGCTTCGACCAGGGTGCACGTGGTTGGCTTAAGTCAATGCTGAAGTAGTTGAAGAAGGCATATAATGTCTCTGCGATCTTGATGGCCAAGTAGACTTCTGGTTAGGTTCGCATCAGATATCTGAATTGAAGCAAAGCAACACACTCTGCGGCCGCGTTCTAACTACCTCTCTGACTCCACTGTCCATGTTTTATGTACAACTGTACAAAGATACATCTCATTCACAAACCCAGCCTCAAGTCTTTTGACAGAGGGGAATCTCCATATCCGCTATCACTGGTCGATGATCCGAGTAGTAGACCCCATCGTCAAAACGATTGGACAGCACACCAAAGTTGTGAAACTCAATCCCTGTTGGATTCAAGACGAATAGGTGGTCAATGATCGTGGACTCTGCCTCCCCAAACGTAGTATAAGTAATATTATTTCCATAGCGATGGGACTTGGGAACGAGGTTCTTCAAATCTGACATGCCGTCAGGTTCCGCCGTCAACAGTCTGTGTGGCTCTTCGGCTGGCCCGCTGTTGAAGTCTCCTCCGAGGAACACAGGAACAACAGCTTGGTCATCGGCGGAAGCCTCGGTCTGCCACTGTCGTGCGAGTCTGAGGAGTAGCTTTGCGCTTTCTGAGCGTGCCTCGGCGCTGCGATGGTCGAGATGTGTGCTCATCACCACAACCTTTGTAGAAGAGCCCTTGTGGCGGAAAAGTCCGATGGTGACTATGCGGCTTATGGTTGCACCCCAGGCGCAGGAGGGAATGTCTGGGGTAGGGCTGAGCCAATATGTGTGAGTCTTTTCCAGATCCCAGCAGTCGGTCCGATAGAATATGGGCGAGAACTCTCCGTCGACCTCCCCATCGGCTCGTCCACGACCGATGTAACCCCATCGTGAGCCTAGCTCAGAGTGCAGATCAAGGAGTTGCTGGTGCTGGGCTTCTTGGATGCAAACAAAGGTGTTGGTCTGCCCAAAAGTATGGATTCTCAGCTGAGCCGCCAGCCTTGGGCAGCGCACATCCCAGGGTTCCTCATTGGGGATGAGCGTTCTTTTGACAGCGTATCTGACGTTAAGAGTAATGATGCGGAGAGGTATCGTGTCTTTGGCGATCTTTTGATCCATGATGTTGGCTGAATGACACTTCAAATATTGGAGTTGCTTTCTACCCGCCTTCTTCCGGCCGACCAGGCAGACTACCGCGATGTTGGCCACAGTTGAGAAAGCGAAGACTGTCTGCAGGCGGATGGAATGTTTGAAAAGCGACCTCCGATCTCTCAAGGGGCTCTTTAGGAGTCAACAGATAACATGGCATAGCAGCCCGTACAAGACATCGTGGCCTCTTTACCATTGGAAACGCACTACATGTACCTGTCCATGAAGAGAATGGGGTCACCAAACAGAATGACATATGTTCTTTTCAGCTTACGGGGTTAGCTGACAAGTCAGTGCATCCACTTACTTTGGCAGTCTGGGCATCCAAGGTGTCAAAAGATGCTGAGCTGGAGGAGATGAACCCTACACATTGGCCTCTGCAACAGCTTGCGGCGGAGAAGTGCTGCGGGCCCAGTCCCAGCCCCGAAGGAATATGTATTCCGGGAGACGGTCCAATTCACTTGTCCCAATCCAGTATATGTTCCAACCGCGGGCTAATGCACGCTTAATTTTTAGAAGGAAAACGAAAAACGTCTCCTTCAATCGGATCAAGACTGACTAGAACATCCCGTCACGCCTCGCAGACCTCCGCGGTGTATCGTTCTTCGGGGAGCCTGCCGCTGAGTTCCGCCATCACCGTCCCACCGGACCGGGTCCAACGCTATTAGCAAGGCTTAGTCCGGGAATCGGGGCCCTCCACTGAGTCACTCGGCGAAGGCATGTTTGCAGCTTTGATCAAAACTTCCCCTCCAACATTGAGCTCAATCAGCTCATGTTTGTCAGCCGGAAAAAATTCCAGAAGAACACGAAATATGAACCGGTGGGCTCAAAGCGGGAAATGATGCCGAGTTCCCTGTCACCATGCCACCCTTGCAGCAAGTTGTCGCTATTACCGCATTAGGAAGCCCGACGCTGACAATTACCTAAAAGTCGGGCCCAAGTGACGGAGCCTCTGCCGGATTCCCAGCTTAGACTCGTTCCGATCGTTCAAACGCAAATGTTTTCCAGCTGCTAGCCGGCGTTCAGCCGTGATTATCGGTTGATCGTCTCTAGGTAATTGATGGTTTGCAGTCTGTTTGCGTTGAACCCCGTCAGATTTCCTCCTTGTTGCAACCCCCTGCTTCAGCACTCGAAGACGAAAGATGGGTCCAGGCAGCAGCGCACAAACCATTGAGTTGCAACAGCTTCCAGCGTTGCCATCTGGTGCTGGATTGCACGCAACAACAAAGCTTGCCAACTGTGATACTGCAATATCACCATTTAGAGAAACGGAGAGAGACTTGAATCTGTTGAGCCCCAATCACAGTGGCAGTTCTCCTCATTCCACACCTCCCGAGGATGCAGTTGAGATCTTCCAGAAATGGAACTATCCTCGTTCAAACATCGCCCGAATACTGTCCATCTTCTGGAGTCTGATGGTCATGGGCGCAAATGACGCGTCGTATGGAGTGAGTGATTGCTTTCTGGAAACTAATGTGTAAAGCGTTTTGGCATGGTACTTACATGAACTATTTAGGCTATCATTCCCCATGTAAGTCAATGCAAGACCTCCTGTCTGTCAGGTAGGTTGGTGAATGAGGCAAGAGACTAACCGGACGACGTCAGCTGGGAAAATACTATGAGTTACCGTACTCTTTTACGTCGCTCATCTTCCTCGCGCCTTTCATCGGCCATACGCTGTCAGCGGCCCTGAACACCAGTCTCCACGAGACTGTCGGGCAAAGAGGTATAGCCATTATTGGCTCGGGATGTCACCTTGCAGCATACATCGCCATTTCACTTCCCCTGCCATACCCAGCACTCGTATTCATCTACATGCTTGCCGGGCTGGGCAATGGCATTGGTGATGCTGCCTGGAACTCATGGGTAGCCAGCAACCTGGCAGATTCCAACGTGGTTATCAATTCCATGCATGCTTGCTACGGCCTCGGGGCCGTTCTGGGACCGGTGACTGCAACTACTATGGTCGTAAAGGCTGGCCTTCCTTGGTACGCGTTTTACTACTTCATGGTATGTCTCTGCAGTTCGCCCACACTGACTCGAGATTAACTGACACAAGAACTAGGCTGGCTTAGCGGGCATAGAGCTCGTCACAACATCGACCACATTCTGGTCTGCAACGGGCAAAGCTTACCGAGAAGCCAACCCCAAAGGCCCGGAACCAAGAGAGTCGATCGTTCATGAAACGCTTTTCAAGCTGCCCAATGCGAGAACAACATGGGTTTGTGCCATATTTGCACTGGGATATGTTGGGCTCGAAGTATCGCTGGGTGGATGGATCGTCACCTTTATGTTGCAGGCCCGGCACGGCGAAGAGTTCGCCAGCGGTATGACAGCAACAGGTTTCTGGGCTGGGCTAGCTGCAGGCCGCATAGCCCTGGGTTTTGTCACTCCACGCGTAGGAGAAAGATTTGCCGTGATGGTTTGTCTACTATGTGGTCTCGGTTTCTGGGACAATGCTGACTTATGTCATACAGGCTTATCTCGGAGCCGCCATATGTCTACAACTTCTCTTTTGGCTGATCCCGCAGTTCTTCATATCGGCCATCACAGTTTCGCTCCAGGGCTTTTTCCTAGGGCCGCTGTTTCCAGCCATCATGATAGCGGTAACAAGGTTGCTCCCAAAGCACTTACACGTCAGTGCTATTGGATTTGCCATCGGTCTAGGAGGTAGCGGTGCCGCGATTCTTCCGTTTGTTATAGGGGCGCAAGCTCAACGACACGGTGTACAAGTACTATCACCGATTGTATTGGGGGCTTTAGTGTTCTTGTTGATGACGTGGTCTTTCTTGCCTAGCTTCGGTCGAAAGCAGGACTAGAGAGGGAATGGTTGAAAGCAAAGTTTCTTCTATGATAATTAGCTTCAAATGACCGTAATATGATGAATGTGTACTGCCCCTCGTCTCTGTCTATTCTCACAAGCTATCTGCACGAAAGAATGTTTGGCCAGCTTCCATGGTTGTATACTTATAACCCCTGCTCAATAAACGCCCGCACATTTTGAGTGTTGACGAAGTGTTGGTGCGTCGAAACGATTATCCAGTTTAATAGCTTATTCTAGCTACATGTAATCGACGAGACACTTGGGGGGTTGCTGCTATCGCTCCTTTCCAACATTTCATCGTCAAAATGGTTTCCATACTCGGGAGGCACGTCCAAACCGCCGTCAGGCTCCACCAAATCCGCCGTCTCCGGGCTCTTCGGCCACACAAAATTGTCAAACGCATCAATGGGTATCTTTGGAGAAACAAACAAAACAATAGGCAGGGTGGCGTGGTATCGGAACTACAGTTTTCTTAGCATTCAGTCTGAGATGTGTCTCCTCGTATGATACTAACCTTCAACAAGTTGTCGTCGGGCTGAGCAACGTCGACAGCTACATGAAGCGTGTGTGTTGTACCGAGTCCTTCCGTGTCCATATCTGGAGAACACTTCTTCGGGTCTGTTGGTAGTGGTAGGTTTTGTATTACTCGATACACAGGTTGGGCGCAATCTTCCGGGTTTTCCACTGGCGCAAACCATTCCGCAACTTGGCGATCCCCATCAAATTGCTGCAGGGGCCGAGCAGTATTAATGGCAAACTTGTGAGATTCCAAGAGCTCGCATTTGATCTGTTTGATTTGCAACTTCTTGTTCAGCGGCGTCAGCTGTATCTCGAGAGGTATCGTTGTCCCGAGGGCCACAGCCTTGTGTGCTATCGAGATGCAGTATCGGACGTTGTCTGCCCAAGTCCCTTCCATGTACATGGGATCCATCAACTCAAAGGCCGAGTTCTGGACCGTTCTGTTGATACGAATCGGTTGGTAGGCGGTAGGCATCGATGTCGACGTCTTTCCTCGGATTGTCGATGCAGAGAGCTGGTATGATATGCTGCAGCAGCTGCATCCTCGGAAGGTCTCTGGCGTGTTGCCGGGTATGACCAACTTGAAAGGCCACTCGTGGGTTTCGATGTCACCCGATGCGGTCGAAGAAACCTTTTGCCCGTGGTCGATGACGAATGGGGGCAACTCGTCTTCGTATATCGGAATGGTACGAAAGTCGGGCCTCTTTGTGCTTACATCGTGGTCTCTGGAAAGCGCATGGTCAGTTTCGAGATACTCAATGTTGTGAATTTCATTCGGACCTGCACCGAAGAAAGCCAACCATTCGAAGTCGTACTCCGGTGGCATGCTGCCCGCAAGGCAGGCGCAAACTAAGCACTCCACTTAGGGTTTGCTCGCTGGCTTCATCAACTGGCCCTCTCAAGAAAACAAAGTCTTTCTTCAATCTGAAAGAAAGGTTCAGTCGTCAGCGAAAAGATTGCATCAAGGAACTTGGTGTTCCATACCGGATCTTGAGACAAGCACTTCCGTCCCCCCCAGTGATTCGAGAAAGGAAAGACCGCATTGTTCAGGAACTCCGCTTCTCAAAGAGGTGGTTTGTTTTGATATGGCCAACGAGAACCCATGATGATCATGATGATGGGAGGCGGAACGAGATTAAATCAGAAGATCTAGGGAATTGAAGATGGAAGTTTCTCGTCCATGTCGCCACAACTGGTCAATTGTTCACGGCAGAATAACATTCGGACTGCTGATAGAGACCGACATACGGTCATGTTCAGCCCTAAAATGGAGGCATCCGCGAAGGAGCCAGGGGCTCACGCGAGATGGAAGCAAGGGTTCAAGCTAGTTGCATGGTGCCAATGCCGGTGGGGAGTATTTCCTAGATAGGAAATAGCGGTTGGTTGAGGGCACTTTTCCGAGCTCGGGTTTCCTCCGTTGATGACATATGGCAAGAGAATTGCATATGATCATGAGAGAGGAAAAGCCATTTTTGACGTCGTGGCGTCGCCTGATTCCTGCACTGAAAGAATATGGCTGCAGACTGGATAATTCTGCGCGTATGAATCGCGCTGGGTTGACTCATGCGTGAGGTTCTGGCTTACAAGGCCTGTGAAACCAAACCTTCAATTTCCCTACAGCGGGATTTATATTCCGCCATGTAATAACCGAAAAGCTTAGAACGTGTTAAGGGTCTCTTGCAAGGAGTTTTTCGTGACACATTTTTGGTTCTGGTTTGCTAATGAGACTCGTCCAAGTCGTGTAAGTCGTGGAACGGACCGTGGCGCCGAATCTTCCTGCGAAGCAATGCGGAGTTCGGCGGAGTTGGTCCGGAGATGTCCCTTGGAGTAACCACCGGACTTGCCTGATTCAAGAGATCTGCTTGTGTGGGTAATCCTCGGCTAAAATGCCATTTCAACGGCTTGACGACGTCAGTGTTTCGTAGGACGGAATTCAAATTCCTGAACGAATCAGCAGCGAGAATTCCTCTCCTGGTTGGACTAGACTAGCTGGCCGGTTGCACCACAGAATGCACGCCAGTTCAGCGACGATCATATCATCTGACGCGGGTCGCAGATAAACCTGCTGGAGCTATTTCCACTAACATTTTTAGCCCCTGGTCGAATGAGACATACGTGTTTGCTCTGGTCGCAGTCTCTGATCACATGCCTTGGCATGGCCTTCTTGCAGGCTTAGGAATCTTTCCCCGCCGGGAAATAGTCATCAAATCTTGCTGACTTTTCTTCCCGTTCTGGCTTCATGGAAAACTCGCGATATGTTGGCCGATGATTTCCCGTCGAACAAACAGCATCTAGGCGGCATACCACGTCCATCCTGAAGCTAGGAAAACGACATTTAATCCTGTTCCTGCCGTCTTTCATCTCGTATTGTGTGATCAGTGAAATTCTCGGTGATAAATCGTCGCCTCATGCCATCCGTTCTTTCTGGATTGCGCCGTCATCGTCTCCATCATTCAGCCTCAGCTGAGGATTTACGCGCCCCGTTCACAAGTCGCCTTGGCATTTCCAGCAATGTCGCAGGCCTTATTGTCTAAGTCCACCATCACGAACATGGCTGCGCTCCCCGCATTTGGGGGCCACAGTCTGGTCCAGCTGGGTGAGATTCTCGATCGCTCACTTGATACAAGGCTTGGACGCGACCTCTCAAGCACCCCTGCAAACCTCTCACGCGTGGTCTACATCCCAAGACACAGGGACATCACTGTCCATCTTCCACTGTACGATGTGTCGAACACCTACTTTGATGCCGTCAAGAAGGAGCCGATAGGAAGCAGCAAGTACAAGCTGAACCTTGCCATGATGAGAAGGCCAAGCGGAGATGGAACGGATGCCGAGGTGCGCTACCTCGTTGATTTTCAGGAGGATGCCAAAGAAAAGACTGTGGTAGTTGAGCGCAGAGTTCCCACACATAACGGGGAAATAGTCAGCATGTAAGTCAACTTCATGGGTGCCCGTTTTCTCTACAGAGATGTTAACGTCTATTAAAAGGACTTTGCCGAAGGAAGGAGACGGTAGCTTCCAAGTCGAGCCGTTGAACACGGGCTCTAATACCCGCCTGTCGCTTCACAGCTCATTCCCTGTGCCCGACACGAAGGTAGTGGAGCAGCAAGTTCGACACCCCTGGTTCACGATATCTCATCGGACAAACACTAGTGCGAACGCACAAACTTCAAACCTGAAATGGCAGACATGCCCCAGGGAGCACGGCGCTCTCCGATACACGCTCGTCGACACAAGCGTAGAGCCTACAGATGGCAAGCCAGTCGTGCACGCCATTTATCACCACGCTGGAATCGCTTTTGCCCTACCTCACGACTACAGCGAAGGCGTTCTTCTCCTATCCGGGGATCTCAATGATGAAGCAGAGGCGTTGGCTGTCACGACCCTGCTGGGTCTGCTGGAACGAGTTCGCCAGGTTAACCAGCCTGCACCCCGACCGAGAAAGAAGTCTCTAGTGAAGAGGGTCCTGGGAAAGATTTGAGGCAGAAAATGCGGTGTGGAAGAAATATTGCCAAAAAGGGAGATTGTTTGAAATTGTGTGGGACAGAAGATGCTGCATTGGGACTTTAATTATTACTAACATTCTGCTGGGATTTTGCAACAAGAGGGCCGGCAAGACCGAAAACCTCACTGGCCATGATACCCTCAAAATTTGTATTATCGATTTACTCATACCACGTTCATAGATTAATTGCAGCTCACTCTCCTTTCCACTGAACCCGCGTTACCCTTCTCTACCTGAAGTCAAGAACCCGGGCTGTTGCTATGCTCTATCCTGCAGCCGGTAGCGGACAGCGCTCTAAGACCACCTCCAAAATGCCCGTGCCTTGACGAAGTCTAACGTCGCTTCCCCGCCTGAGCACAGATGTCTATGGATATGCACTTAGTATGACATCCTGCTGATCTGTTTTGCTGCGCCGGAGCACACCTACTACTTCGTGACAGTCTCGCGGCCTGCTTAAGAGGAGCTTGATAGCCAAACTCGGCACGAACATTGGCCATGATTACCTTGAGCTTTGGGAATTATTGTAGTCGAGTAAGCGATCGTCTAATAAGGTCAAAGTTCCTGAATATCAAAGCCGCATACCTAGATCCCATCAAAATTTATACTACAAACTCGCATCCCGAACTTCAACTCATGAGTAAGTAGGTAACCCAATGAAGCCAACCCAGTCCGTGCGCGCCTTCGAAGAGGTTGTGACTGACATAGCTTTTAATCTCAAAGTTGTATCTTGTCTGTTGATTGCTTGATTATGGCTTGTAACAATATCCTACTGTCCATATGGCATCGTATGCTGTCGCTGATGCGCACATCCATCTAACGTCTGGAATGTCGAACTGGGTTTTCTTTGGAGAAACGAGAAATACTTTATTGCAAATCGAGCGACATCCTAAAAAAGTTTCCCCTCCCACAAGATTCGATCTCTTTGTTTTTCGGCCATCAGAGGGCTAAAGTCTAGGTCATCAAGTCTTGACTCAAGCCGTCAGTAGTGACTGAACGAATTGAATAATTATATCAGTTCTTAAAATATCTATAATTACGATTTACAATGCAACTCTGTCAAACGTTCCGATGTCGGGTGTCACACCCAGAAGTCGCCGTCTTGAGTTTCACTTGGTGGTGGTGCCGTTGTCGGGATGGTCACCCGACATGATAAGACCCTTCCGATCCGACATGTCGGGACCGCGCACCGACTAGCCCTTTCCGGGGTCACCCCCAATTCCTTGCCTCCGACACTGCAGAAAATGGTCATTCTTATCTCAAGAAACTTAATTGAAAGGATCCGATAACGTCCCTTCTCCAGATTTTGGGTCGCATGAGAGCCAATCAGTGCCAATAAACCGTCTTGTTTGCATCTCCAAGTCCCCTCCGTCTTATCCACCTGGTGGAGCTCTGGGAATTTTGGACGAACGCCGCCAGAACCCGCGATGGAGCAGAGCCTCAATGGCACTGACTATCTTTAGTGCGTATCTGGGGTCTGAGACAAATCTCGGAGAGCCGATCGGTGGGAGGGGTGGAGGGCTCGGCGAAGCTGCTCGACGATACCCAAGTCATGCCGCCACTTTGACACATCTAAGGTTTGTGCCGGCCATAGCCGTCCATAGCAACTATATCTAACCCTCCCTCATCTATCTCTCCCTCCTTCGTGACTGAGCACACCTCGTTCATCCAAACTCTACAACACCTCACGATGTCTTCCTCTATTATGTGCAGGCGCGTGCCCGTGCCTCTTTGCAGATCTCTTCGTCTGCAGGGAGCACCAAGAAATGTACACACCACGGCGGCGAACCGTACTAGCACCGCGGTGCCAAAGTCTCAGACTCTTATTCCCCAGACCACAACAACAACAAAAAGATCGGCCCTTTCAAGATTACCAACACCAACCCTCCTCCGATCGCTATTCCTCACACAATTCACATCTTCGCCACTATTGATGAGGCTATCACTACCAATCCTCGGCTTTATCACAACATCAAAATCACTACTATTCAACCCCGACAGAAACCCGCTTCTAAACAAGCTGTTGAGATGGACTATATACGACCACTTCTGCGCAGGAACAAACGTTCCGGAAGTTAGGAAGGCAGTCGCCAACGTTAAGCAGATGGGTTACCAGGGAGTCATTCTCAACTACGCCAGAGAAATCGTCCTGGACACGAAGAAGGCACAGGCAGGATCGAAGGAGGGAGACTACGCACCGGCCTTTTATCAGATGGTACAGGAATGGAAGAAGGGAAACCTCGATACGCTTCAGATGATGGAGCCTGGCGACTTCATTGCCGTCAAGTAAGTCTATCAGGTCTCGTGCCCTAGAAGCTCAATGACTAACATGAAATCCTCAGGGTTACTGGCGCTGGTCCTATCGCCGTGGATGCTATGCGGGGATCCGCGACCATCCCAAAGGTTCTCAGCGAGGCCCTTGATGAGATTTGCGAAGCCGGAAAACAGAACGGTGCCCGTGTCTGGATCGACGCCGAGCAGCAGGCTCTCCAACCGACACTGGATGAGTGGACCATCGATCTTATGAGAAAGCACAACCGCGAAGCCCGCCCTCTGGTTTTCAACACCATCCAAGCATACCTCAAGGGCTCCACCGCCAACGTTGAACGCCACATTGCCCTCGCCGCGAAGGAAGGCTGGAGTCTCGGCATCAAGCTCGTCCGCGGCGCTTACATCGAGCACGAAGTGCGCTCTCTGATTCACGACACGATCGAGGACACCCACAACTGCTTCGACGACATTGCCGACATGTTCATCAGCCAACGACTGCCCAAGGGATCCGAGGGTCTTCAGTTCCCCTCGAGCGCGCTGTTCCTCGCCACCCACAACGCCAACAGCTCCACCAAGGCTATCTCCGCGCACCGACGCAGGCTGCTTGAGGGACAGACCACGACGACTTTGGAGTGCGGGCAGCTTATGGGATTGGCTGATGAGTTGAGCTGTGAGCTCTTGGACAACTACGACACCTGCGTGACGGACTCTGGGTTGAAGAGGGATGACATCCCCAAGCCTTTCAAGTACATCCCGTGGGGTTCTGTGGCGGAATGCATGGGCTACCTGCACCGCCGGGCTATTGAGAACAAGGGCGCGGTTGAGAGGACACGGCATGAAGCTGTCATTCTGAAGAATGAGCTGCGCCGGAGAGTCTTTGGTTAAGGTGTTGGTTTGAGCAATGCATCAAAATTAGATTATATCCTTAGATAATGACAAGCGAATTGATATCCTTTCATATGTTCATTTCATGTTCATTTCTTCAGTCATTATGTGATGTGTATGTGGATGAAAGCCAGGGCTCGAGATGTGTCCCCGCGTCATGAAATTTTGACTGACATAGGCGGCTGGCCCAGGTGTAAGTCACTTCTACGTTTCACTTGAAGTCCCTAGTTCGACAATTGCAGTGCAGTCGCTTGATTGTGCCAATTTCATTTTCAATTTGCAATCAACAAGAAAAAAATCATAAACAACGTCCACGCTGCGTTCTGTGTGCCCTGCAGAGGAACGCTCACATGGACACCGCAATCGCATTCGATCCCTCTGCGGCCTGTCCGGGACAAGCCTCGCGGTCTGTCCGTCGCGGTTGATAACAACAACAGCACTGATTGGCTGAGAAAAGTCGGGATGGCTTTCCGACCTCCACTTTGACCATCAGCTCGGATGTCAGGAATGTCGGAGTGTCCGTCCGACATTGCGTCAACCCCTAGCTAGCCCATATCGAGCAGGAGCCGAGTGATCGAGTGTCATCCTCCGAGAGATCGACTTGTATCCCCTTCAATGCTGATATCTTCATTCTGGTTGCGGTGTCTTTTCGGCTTGAATCTCCATGCCGATGTGTTCCGTCTGTGATTACAACCCAATTGCCTCTGCGTCCCCATATACTCGGCATTTTCGGCTGGGATTATCTATCTTTGGCTCTTCCAAACCCCCTCGTGATCTATCGACAAAAAGTCAATATCGAAAGGGGCTTCTGCAATTGCACGGCCGACACCACAACCCCGTTCAAGCATGGCCAATGCTTTCTCCCAGCCCCGTTTTCCCCGCGAACAATCTTGACTGAAGTGACGATCGTTCATGTCATCCAATGGTCACCGAGCATCCGAACCCCGGACTCCGCGTGCTCCCTACATACGCAGACGCCTCTTGCGTTGACATGACACAGGCTCAGCATGGCCACATGACTTTGTATGTGCAGCAACCACCCTAGTAAATGCATGCAATTGGGGCATGAAATTCATATGCATTTTGATGTGTTTATATAATATGTAGTTAACTAATATATATTTTTTTCCCCTATACTAACTATACTAAAAGTATTAATTTAAGCTAGGTTAACCCCTTTAATTAAAATAAAACTATATAAAAAACTTAGTAATAACTACTTACTGACCTTCTTACTGCTTTTATGTGATTAAGTGCCTTATTACTTATAATATAACTATATCACTAGAGATTATATAATCCCTATCTTCTATAAATATAAGGAGTTATTTAATATTTCTAGTAGCTTTAAAGAGCGTAAATTTAGGTATAATACTTTAGATTTTAATAATCTCTTCCTTATCTAATACCTTATAAGATCTATTATTAGGTATTATTAGTAAATTATTATAGTTATTAAGTATATAAACTATAATCTTATTAGGAGTATATAGCTTTCTAGAGGCTATATTCTTATTAATTAAGCTTAGAAACTCTTAAAGTAACTCCTCTAACTCTAAGAGTATTACTATATACTAAAAAAGGCTTACTAGATTATCTATTTAGTTTAAAGAGGTATTATAATTAGTTATAATAAGATTATAAAATATAAAGTAATTCTAATAGTTTTAGATTATAAAGCTATTAAGAGACTTAAAGAAGGCTTCTACTACCTATTATAATATAAAGTATAGATTTATAACTTTAGTAGGATTAATATTAAGTATTATAATAAAATACTCTATAAACTAAGTAAGGTAAGTATATCTATAGTAGCTCTTAAA